GGATTTGTATAATCAAATGTCACTGGTTACATTTGCTTAACATTTCATCTTCCTTTCCCTGTATTCCTCAGCCTCTCCTGTCCATATATTCGGAGGCTTCCACCCTCAGCTGGCCCAGCCCTCAAAAGTCTTGAATATGTTCCCCAGACCAACAGGGACTGAAGGCCCGGTGCTCGGGCACATCGGTAACTTGAAGGCTTGTGTGGAGACTCCAAGAAGTTACTCTCTGCCTCCAAAATCAGGTAAATTAATACATTAACGGAGCGTCCACACAGCAGCGTTAAAAAAATCTTGGAGGTGGGCGTATCTGAAGCTTGGGGATTTTTTGCGAGCAAGGCACCAACAACCAATCACATGAATCTCCCGCCCCCGACATACGAAGCAAAAAAACCCGAAGTAAACTGGATATAAACTCCCCAAACAGGCGAAAACCTACCACTGTCTCTGCCACCTCCCTCCATGCCTGGCTCCTCCGGTTTATATCCCGGTAGGTAAATAGGGACTGGTCATAAAGCACCGGGTGATTCCCTACCGCTAATTTCTCCTCCATTTTTTGGAATATGAGGAAATGACCTGCGGTATGTCTCTCCCAGCATACATGCGGTTTGATTGGCTAGCGCTTGAACTGTCAGATTTGCGTACACGGGATTTGATTGGCTGACGCTTCCACCTCAGCTTCAAAAGTTGAACATTGCTCAACTTTGAATCCTGAAAATCCTGAAAATCTCCGCTCTGCTTCCCACAATGCAGTTCGGCGAAAAGCGAGGCAAAGTGACGTCACCCCATTCAAAGTGAATGGGCAGAAGCGTTCCAAGATTTTTTTTTTAACGCTGCTGTGTGGACGGGCCGTAAGAGGACATATTATGCTCATTTCCGGTTCTTATTTGTATTTTGTGTCTCTGATGTGACGTGTTTCTATGCTATTTAAAGGGAACCTATCATGCAAAATGCAACTTTTGATTTCTTTTATACATACATATGTGTCCCCGGTGTGTCAGGGAACTCACGAAATGTCAGAAAACAAAACCTTCTCTCTTTGCCTCCATACCCAAATCTCTGAAAACGGAGCTGATCCAGATTTGCGTCCGATATGACGTAATATCTGAAATGTGGACCTTCGGCACTATCAGAAAGTTGCTATCAGGAACAATGCCCGACTGTTTTGGACGTAATATGGTCTTTGTTTACATTAGCATCGCTAACACTCGGAGCTAACGCTGTACTGAAGAGAGCATGTGTAAAAAAGCAGGAAATAAAAAAAGGAACTCACCTTGTGGTAAACCCGCAAGAGAAAAAGTATTTGAGCTCCAAACTCTTTCAGAAATAATCCTTGATGTGGTTTAGAACATGATGGTGTTTAATCACGGCAGCATAACTGAACCTGCAGTTCTATAACAGGCCTGAAATAGAGGGATATGGGATGTCTAAAATGCATGATCTGTTTGGTATTTTGAGCAAAACATATCATAAACATGTTTTTTATATATTTTGATATATCTGAGAGACTCATAATATATGCCTAAAAATAGCATGATAGCAGACCTTTAAATCATCCGTTCCTGTGTCTGAATCTTTTTCTCTTCGCTGTGCTCCAGACGTCAGCAGACAGATGTCTCTACCTTTGAACGGCTTTCATCAGGAAGCTGAGGTGGAGTCCTTCAGCCCGGAGAAGGCTGTCAGACTGAGAGAAGGTCCAGTGGAGGACTGGCCCGACTGGAGCGACCCTGAGGGGAGTGAGGACAGGGGGGGGCAGTCGGTCCAGATCCACATCCAGGCCTCTGAGAGAGAGGATCCCGTCAGCAGCAGACTGCCGCTCTCAGCCGCGGAGCAGGAGCCGTGGGATGACTTTGAGGACACTGAAGCCACCTCAGATCTGTCCCCCACAGCTCCTTTATCAGTCATACTAACACCACCCAGAGGGGGCCCTACCACACCTGTACTACACTCTCCTGAAACACTGATTGTGGCTCAATCCAAACCCTTCAAACTGACCTCAGCCCAGCGGCCATCCACACAGAGCAAGACCTCCATGGAAGAAGGCTGGGCTCAAGAGGAGACAGACTTGGAGTTATCACACCACCCGAAGCATAAAGCGCCAAAGAAGAGCCGTGGGGGGGGGGGGTCTGGGGGAGGAGTTCACCATTAAAGTGAAGAAAAAGGAGCAGCCTGACCCGGAGCTGGACCTGTTTGCAGACATGGTGCCGGACATCCAGCTGTCCTCTGCTGCCTCTCCAGAAATCACCTCATTTCTGCAGGACTCAATCATCGACACGGTCACACTCACTGCCAAGTTCGCTGTTGACAACCAGACGGAGGTGAGTGTGTGTGATGTTTTGATTTATTTCCTTAGATTTTGATTGGATCAGGTTTCTATAGGATGAAATACTAAACCTCTCTTAAAAAACTGAAAACAATTCTTCCCTTTTTTTTAATCAAATACCATCATATAGATATTATAGGGTTGACTATTTGTGATTTGCACGATGAGCTTTTTGATGAATATTTATCAGTTCTGTGGGTAAAAGCAAATAATGGAACAGCTATAACAATGCCTTAAAGGGGACCTATCATGCAAAGTGCACTTTTGTACGTCTTTTCTACATGAATATGTGTCCCCGGTGTTCCAGGGAACTCACCAAGTGTCAGAAAACACAACCCTCTCTATTTTCCTCCATACCCAAATCTCTAAAAAAGGGGCTGCAACGGATCTGATAAAAACTGATCCAGATTTGAACACTGTCCTGACGTCAGGACGGTGGCGCTACGGCTATTGGGCCAACTCCACCAATCAGGAGGAGACGGCCATTGCCGTTCGAAAGCGCTGGAGACGCTGTAGTACATATGCCAGGCCAGTAGATGGTGCTGTTCTCACTGAATCTGCCCTTGCAAAAACAGAGCTATAAATTGTCAAATTGAGCAAAATGAGGCATGGCTAAAATGCATGATCTGTTTGGTATTTTGAAAAAAAAAAAGTATAAATATACCTTATATAGGTATGGTCCTACACTATATTATTCAAATATAGCATGATAGGTCCACTTTAAGTTTAGGCCTTTCAAACCAGGGTTGCAATGTTGATATCCAAAATGTAAACTAATATCTCGCCTCATACCAAAATATAGTATTGGTGTATTGCCCAGCTCTACCTCTATACTTTGTTTAGCCTTCCACAGCTTTTTTTTTACATATGATTAAGAACTATAAGAACCAGAGCTACACAAATGTTGTCTTGTATGATGAATATTTTGTGAGCCCTTAATGTGAAGGACTGATTGCAACCATAGCGTGCATGTTTGAGTTGTGAAAAGCTGTTCATCTCAGATCTGTTTAACTTCAATACTTTAAAGGGGACCTATCATGCAAAATGCACTTTTTGATGTCTTTTATACATAAATATGTGTCCCTGGTGTCGGGGAACTCACAAAGTGTCAGAAAAGCATCGCTAACACTCAGAGCTAAGCTGTACTGGATGTGTGTGAAGAAGGAGGAAATAAAAAGGAACTCGCTTTGTGAGGCAAGAGAGAAAGCCTTTGAGCTCCATACTGTTTCAGAAATAATCCTTGATCTAATAATCCTTGCGTTTCTTCACCGCAGCATTTGACAGTATCTGCCAGGTCCTGCATGAGCCGGCATAAGCTCCGCCCCCTCTTATTTTTATTTTTTGTTCAGTTGAAAAAGAAGAAAAAAAGCTTTATACCCAGAATCAGCACTTTTGTAACAGGAAGTGAGATGTGGGATATGAGGCATGGCTAGAATGGGTGATGGGTTTTGTTTTTTGACCAAAACACTTCATAGACATGTTTTTTATATTTTTGTATATATCTGAGACCTATGCTATTGCCTAAAAATAGCATGATAGGTGACCTTTAAAACCACATCATAAACACAGGGTTAGGAAAACGTATCTATATGTTGCACATTAGAGTATACTGGTCTGTATACTGTGTTTTTTAATTTGTTTAGTTGCTGGCCCTTAGTTAATTAAAATACAATTCAAATGTTGTTATTAAACTACACTTTGTTACTGTTTTTTTAAAAGGTGCTTTGTACAAATGTTTTGCAACCCATATTTGTGAAACTAGACTGAAGACAGCTTGATGAGAAAAGGGTAAACAGCAATGACATTATATAAACAAATGCAGTGAACCATGAGCTGATAATGGAATATACAATTATGTATTTAAAAAAAAAAGTCACTTTCTGTCCTGGTAATGATTGCATAGCCAATGAAGCATTAGAGCTTTCCTGTCATTTACCTGCCTTTCAATGATTCATGATTATTCTCCCTTTTCTCTCTCAGACGGAAGCAGAAGGCTGGGGAGACGGAGACGACGACGACGACGACCTGAACTGGGAGGAGAGCGTCTGGTGAGGACGTTTCCTGTCGTCTGGAGCAAAGACTTGACCACTTTAAAACTCTAATCTTGAAAGCTGCTCCAGTTCTGTTTGAACAGCATGATGCAGTCACGGCTGAGACTCTTTATAGCCCATCCTGTTGGGTCCTGGACGTTTATCATCAGTCTATTCATTCAGATAACCATTTGAACTGGAAGCTCATCACATTGTGCTGGACTTTTGAAGCCATCTTTTTATTGTTTGAGATAAATGAGGATCTGAATCAGAGGTCCTTTTTTTTTTTTTTTTTGGACTACTTTTTCTTTAGTGCCAACTTCTTTACTGGCATGAAAATCAAAATATACTTTTTGGCAAACAATACTCGGCCAAAATGTGTCCGGTTTGATTTACAAAAGGCTTGCACTTTGAATGAATGTGAATCAGAAATTACGTAATTTATTAGCTCTTTGGTTGCTGGTGAAGTAAAGATTTTACTGCATCATAATATGACCCTGTTCTGTTTTATAAGACTTTTTATAGATGTGTCTCATTAAGTAGGAATATTATAAGTACTTTAAGGAGTCAGACAACGCCTCGAGCCAATATGGGTACTCAATAGACTCCTGTTTGACTAAGTGCTAAATAAATACAAGTGAACAATTATCTGTAATCAAACAAGTTTAATAAACAAAACAACCGGTTTAAAAGCTGATACTTCACAGCAGCAGAGAAAGGGTTTCACAGACTTTAAATAGTTTTTCTATATATGAAGTAAATACATCTGGGGCTAGCTTGTGTGTGTGGCTGTTCTGATGTGTGTGAGGATGGTCTGGAGCTCCTGCAGTCTGGACTCCAGCCAGGGTGGAGGTGTTGGAGGAGAGGTGCGTTCTGTGAGAGCCTGCAGAGCTTTCAGAGCGCTCTCAGCGGTGGTGACGTAGCGGCTGAACTCCTCCTCTGCACAAAACTCCTGCCGAGCTTTCTTTGGACACGGCTGAGAGAGAGGAGGAGGAACGACAAGGACGTCATACATCCATTTATGAATCTAATTCTCACAACATGATTTAGTTTGACATGAGGCAGGATCGCTTGTACAAATGAAATGGTGACTTGCTGAGCAGGACGTTATGTAATAATCTGACTGAGAAGTATTTTGCTAAATAAAAGTACTATTTTACTTGTGTTACTGCTAAGGAACGTTTGTACTGAGCTACGAGAACGATATAAAGCATTAGGATTGTTGTAGTAGTGTATCATCCTACAAACCTAATAAAAAACCTTTACTTGCTAGATACTCTTGAAAAAAATGCATAATAAATGTAATCCCCTCTAGTGTTTTAACACATATCACAATTGCAATGTAAGTCTAAATAATCGTAATAAGTTAGATATCCTACAGATTGATACATTCATTTAAAATATATATAAATGCTGATTACAATTTGCAAAACTAACCAAACACTTAAAGGTAGGGTAGGTAAGTTTGAGAAACCGGCTCGAGATACACTTTTTGTTATATTCCATGGAATGCTCTTAACATCCAGATAGCAATGAATATCTTAAGTGCTTTGACAACAAATCCATAAAAAAATGTCATCTGTGGAAGCCGTAGTACTGTAAAAAGCACGACCAATCATTTTAGCCAGCCCGGCTCAAATAACTGGATGGCCTACCTGCCTGTCAGCCTTCCATCTGTGCACAAACTTATCTCGTGCCCTCATTGGTCATGTGCGCGTTCGTGTGTGTTGAAGGAGGGGCTCTGTAAGGAAGTGGCAGATTTTCTCCGGTTGTGTATTTTCAAATTCTCGCGATCTCGAGCCGGTTTCTCAAACTTACCTACGGCACCTTTAAAGGTAGGGTAGGTAATTCACTTCAGATACACTTTTTGTTATATTCCATGGAATGCTCTTAACATCCCGATAGCAATGAATATCTTAAGTGCTTTGACAATAAATCCATAAAAAAATGTCATCTGTGGAAGTCGTAGTACTGTAAAAAGCACAACCAATAATTTTAGCCGGCCCGGCCAAAATAACTGGATGGCCTACCTGCCTGTCAGCCTTCCATCTCGTGCACAAACTTATCTCGTGCCCTCATTGGTCATGTGCGCATTTGTGTGTGTTGGAGGAGGGGGCAGATTTTCTCCGGTTGTGTACTTTCAAATTCTAGCGCACTCGAGCTGGTTTCTCCATTATTACCTACCCTACCTTTAACTCGCATATCCTTCTCCTATGCCTCTTTAAGTGTTTCCTGGAAACTATCAAATTAAAATAAAATAAGCCTGGTTCATATTATACTACTACCTCCTAGTGAACATGTGTTAAATTGTCCACTAGGAGGTAGTGTTGTACTGACCAGCTGCCATTCAGAGTGACCTGGAGAGTCTAAAGATGAAGCAAGACTGCATGGTGAGGAAGATTCAGGAAACCATTGAATGAAGTTGTAATTAAACTTTGTGACACCACTCACCTCTGAGTCTGCTACAACTTCAGCAGCCAGTGTTTCAGCAGCAGCTTCAGCAGCCAGTGTTTCAGCAGCAGCTTCAGCAGTGAGTGTTTCAGCAGCAGCTTCAGCAGTGATTCTGTCAGAAGCATTTTCTTTGTCGCTCTCCAGCCTCTCGTTGTGTTTCTCAATAACGACCTTCTCCAGTTTGATCCTCTGCAGCCGTGACTCCACATGTTCCCGAGCATTTACAGTCTGCAACGACACATTGACTCGTTTATGTCAATCTGTTGAAGTGAATCTGATGAAAATAGTTTTCATTAGAATCTCCTTACCTTGCTCAGATAGTTCACCACCTTCGCCTTGGTTTCTTCAACACACAGACTCTGGGAAATGACCTCTTCATGGTTTGTAATCTTAAAGAGCAATATGACACGTTAAGTTTACAACACAGTCAAGGGCAGTACAGGATAACTTCTGAAACAGCTTTTACATCCCTGCCGTACCTCTGCAAAGTGAGAGAAGGCCTCCAGAGCGTGCTGGTGCAGCGGCCAGGACCTGTCGGACAACATGGCTCCAAACAGGCCGCTCAGCCTCGGCAGGATCTGACTCTGTGGGACACAAAGTGGGTTTGAAAGAGAAATCATAGGATTATATTAAAATGTTCTCATTTCATATCCACAGTTTTGACTGTTACTGATTAATGTCAAATACTATTACTTTTTTTAAATGTAAATGTTTTTTTATTACATACTATACAATAGAAATGTTATGAAATGGCTTACTATGACAATATCTTGACTTTATTTACATTTTGAAAAATACAATTTTCATGACTTTTTGTCTGTAAAATGTCTCAAAAGTGCACATCTTAAATTTGAAGTGAAGTTTTAAACTGCATACGTGGCAACGCTGAAATATCAGTAACTTCATGAATATAAGAGAGAGAAAAGCAACTAAATACAGAACATGATTAGCATATTGTTAATTTGCAAACAACAGACAAAAGATCATCCATATTTTTACTATCTTCTTCAAAACTAATTTGCATTTATATTTGACCTATCTGTTGGCCTAAATGTTGGGAGCAACTTCGAAGGAGAACAGCGGTAGAATAAATGTCTGACAACATCTGGTGAGGAGTGCAAAGAACCAGAAGGTGAGACACTGTGCAGCAGAGGGGTGTGATCACCTGGCTGTCTGTGGGGACGAAGATCTTCCCCAGAGAGGAGAGGAACTCCAGAGCAGCGAGCGTCAGCTGATCGGCACACCGCTGAGACACCACGGCGTCCACACACAGCAGAGCCTGGACACACACACATAAACACACAGTTACAGTCAACAGAAGCTCCCTCCAGTCCTGATCTAATACATGTGAACTCTGAAGCTAACGTCATACCTGGTAGATGACTTGAGGTTCGATGTTTTTCACTAGAACGGCTGATATGGAGAGCAGCAGCTGCAGCGTGCAGTGGAGCGCGGGCTGGCTCTGCACCTGGAGCAGGGCAGGGGTCAGGGGTAACGGTAAGAATGTCTGTATCTAATCTCAAAGATCAGCATCGTACAACATCAAAGCATTTTTTAACTGTTCAGATTCGATATGTTAAGCCTGATCTGATCCTTTATTTATGACTTAAAAAGAAAATACATGAAGGAACAGCTTGTTATTTGTTGTTAGGGTTAGCCCTTTTAATAAATGAAATGTCCTTGTTTGCACTGTGCAGCTGTTCTTGGAAGATAGAAGGATCAGATTAGGACTTGGCATCATCAGATACTCAATATTAAATTACTTGGATTGAGGGGGCAACAAAACCCTGACTGCGACATTCCTGGTTACAGTCATGCCCTTACACTACACTCATGAGTGTGTGCATGTATTAGGATCTCACCTGCTCTGGACTCATTCGTAACCACAGCTGTGTGAGGACCCTCAGAGCAGACAGCACACACTGGTCCTCAGGAGAGGTCTGCACCCGGACCACCGCCAGGAGGGGCCGCAGCACCGTGTTCTGCACACAGGAGGGACTGTCAATTCCAACATTTGTGCAGATTGTCCCGTTTAACTATCCCCACCCTGCTTCCTAGCATTGTTTTTCACAGCTGGATGTAATCATTCTGCCCAGAGTTTGACTGATAGCAACTGGACGACAATCCTGCAAACACTGTGACACATACATCTGAACTAAACTGAGAACAATTCCACAGTGACTAAAAACCAACAAGATCAAAAAATAATCAGACAACTTTTCACATGAACTTTGTATGCCTGAGTAAACACTGAAGGCTTAATCCTACATCTGAGTCTAACAGCTTATAACAATCCAAAATGAATCATAAAAGAAATACAAAATAAGACAAAACAAACAAGTTATAATTCAGTGCAATAAGTTTATATTATGCCGTCAAGACTTAAAACCTTATTAAAACGTCCATGTAACGTTAAACTGGCGAGAAGGTGGCCTTTCCTTCAAGTGAGAAAACTACTGCCTCTACATTTGAAGGCAAAGCAGATATTAGGCTACTTCTAATTCATGCTAAGGGTTGGTTAAAACTAACAGACGTAATCAGAGCCGTATCTAGGGTCGTCCTCACCATTTTGTCCACTTGTCCTAGTTTGTAGCCTCCATTCTGCCAGTCAGTCAGAGCTTTTTGAGCGAGGCTGATGATGTCGGTCTCGACACGGTGACGAGCATCTTGGGAAAGAGCTCTGAGGAGGACATGTCTCCACACTGAAAGGTTTTCTACCTCAGACGGCGGGAAACGAGTTAACAGCTCCATCTGGAAAAACAAAACACTTTGAGATGATGGGGGGGAAAGAAATCACCTGATATGAAGGTAATCATCTTACACAGCAAAATATGTTATTATTAATTTACGGTTAAATGGACACAATCAGAAACCGTCATCCAAAACAAGAAAGTAGGATTGTTGGACAGATTTAAGAAGTAAACCTGAGTAGTTGTGAAATGTACACATGACGGTGATTATATGCATTACCAGTATCCCAATAATGTGCTATAGCCCTTGCATTCACCAGATCTCAACCCAACTGTTATGAGAGACTAATGTCTTGCCACTCTCCATCGTCAAAACTTAAAATAGTAGAAATATTTCAGAGGAATGGTGTTCTCATCTCAATTTGTAGTAAAAAGATAGCCATTGCATTTGACCGTACTGAGGAGGATATTCAGTCAGTACTGTACAATTGTTTTTTTTGAAAAGGCTAGAATACTTGAATCACAGAATCATCTTTTATCTTGTGTGGCCTTTCAGTGTTCACATATATCAAATAGTCAAATTTGATTGTAGTAAGTATGTGAGTTAGTGTTTAATACAAAACTGTGAAAAATGTGATGTGAATTGACACCCTCAAGTTACTCCTGAGATGATCAAACTATTCATTTCTCCAGTGTTTCTGACCTGGTGTTCGGGCGTCATGAGGAAAACCATGCGTTTGAGCAGCAGGCCCAGGTGGAGCGACTGGTAACACTCAGTGGTGCAAGCTTTCACCTGGGGGAGGAGAGGGAGAAGAGAAGAGGGGGGAGGAACAGTGTGAGGAACAGTGTGAGGAACGGTGTGAGGAACAGTTTACCTCATTCACACCAACGGTGTTTCAGGGCCGGTTCGGAGCTGGAGCTTGAAAAGCACCGGGTTTTCCTGTTCACACCGCAGCGGAGCAGCCTCTTAGCTCCGGAATCCGGTTTGTTTCAAGCACCAAAAAATTGTCCGGCTAGAAGCAAGAACCGCATACGTCACGCTTACGTCGAGGCGGGGGCAGGGGCAGGGGCGGGATCAACTCCTGAACAACAACAAAAAGCCCGCGTTTTATCTAGTTTGTACACAACGATGGAGAAACTTAACAAGCGCTTCAACACAATCGGCCATTGTTGTTGTTGTTGTTGTTGTTGTTGTCGGTGTGAGCTGTGAGGGGTTTCCGCGCGGTTTGGCTTTATGAAGCAGGCACGCAAACGGTTACGTCATGACGCAAACGATGACGCAATGACGCAGCACCAGTCGGACTCTGGGCGGTGTGAAAAGAGCCGGAGCTAAACCGAAGAACCGGTTCTGAACCTGAAAAGCTCTAGCACGGAGCTTGAACCGGAGTTGCGTTGGTGTGAAAGGGGTAAGTGTGAGGATCAGGAGGGGTCCAATCAGCAAGGAGGGAACGAGCATCAAAATGAGTTGGATCCAGCTTAATCTGATGACGTAAGAAGTATGTAAGTTGTCCCTGAGATCCAACAACACCAATTGTCACCTCTGTTGGGGGGCCAGAGTAAACATGCGGGACCCCCTACTAACTCATAACCCCACAGGGAGAGATTAAGGGGATTTAGAGTTATTTTAGAAAGCGCTCAGGAAGAGGTCACAGACATGGGGAATCATCCGTGACCCTGTGGAGTGAAGATTTCAGACATTGGATGAGATCCTGGAAACTTTCTGCTAAATATATCAAGTCTACAGTCTTTATGAATCAGGTCTGGTTCTCTGCTTAATCTTTCAAAACAATGAATCCACAACATGGATTCTCTCCACTGGACTGTGTATAATCTTGATCTCTACCCACCAGCTGAGCAACAAGGACGACATGATGCAGACACAGTTCTGCTGTCCCGTACCTGCAAGCAGAGGAGAAAACATAACAGTAGATTTAATATACAGTCGCAGTACAGGAGTAGGCAACTGTGGCGGCGAGGGAGTGCGGTCGTCTTTCAACCAGAAGACAGATAGATGGATAAGATAGACAGACAGACAGACAGACAGACAGACAGACAGACAGACAGACAGACAGACAGACAGATAAGATAGATAGATAGATAAGATAGATAGATAGATAGACAGACAGACAGGATGGATAAGATAGATAGATAGATAGATAGATAGACAGACAGACAGACAGACAGACAGACAGACAGACAGACAGACAGACAGATAGACAGACAGACAGACAGACAGACAAGATAGATAGATAGATAAGATAGATAGATAGATAGACAGACAGACAGGATGGATAAGATAGATAGATAGATAGACAGACAGACAGGATGGATAAGATAGATAGATAGATAGACAGACAGACAGACAGACAGGATGGATAAGATGGATAAGATAGATAGACAGACAGACAGGATGGATAAGATGGATAAGATAGATAGATAGATAGATAGATAGATAGACAGACAGACAGACAGACAGACAGACAGACAGACAGACAGACAGACAGACAAGATGGATAAGATAGATAGATAGATAGACAGACAGACAGACAGAAAGGATGGATAAGATGGATAAGATAGATAGACAGACAGACAGGATGGATAAGATAGATAGATAGACAGACAGACAGACAGACAGACATACAGACAGACAGATAGACAGGATGGATAAGATGGATAAGATAGATAGATAGACAGACAGACAGACAGGATGGATAAGATGGATAAGATAGATAGATAGATAGACAGACAGACAGACAGACAGACAGACAGACAAACAAGTACTTTATTGATCCCAATTTGGGAAATGTTTGCGTTACAGCAGCATAAAAGGCAATGTACGTAAGAGAAATTAAGACACTAGAAATACACAATCCAAAATATTTCTGAAATAGAAATAAAATAGCATTCAAAAGTAAAAATATATTCATGTGGAAAATATACATGTGGAAATACAAATACAAAGGTTGTGGGTTCGATCTGATTCCGTGCGGTCAACATGTCGATGTATCCTTGGGCAAGATACTTAACCCCAGGTTGCTCCTGACGGCCAACGGTGTGTGAATGTGTGTGAATGTGTGTGTGAGTGTGTGTGAGTGTGTGTGAATGTTAGCTTCCTAAAGCCAGTGGTACTGCTCTGTATGAATGAGGTGTGAATGATTCGTAGTATGTAAAGCGCTTTGAGGGGTCGTGATGACCTGATAAAGCGCTTAATAAGTACAGTCCATTTACCATAGTGAAAACATTTGCACTAATACAACTTTAGTGAAACAGTGGCTCAATAATATAAGTTATAAGCAGCCTTAAGTAGTGTTTGTTTTATACTGTAGCTTGCTCTATGCATTACATTGAATGATGCACACAATGTACAACAATATCTGTTTTCTTTTTTTATAACTGTCGATTTTTACTCCATATTTTATTCCATTCCATTTCCATGTAAATACTGTTATATTTGACTATATTTTGTATTATTTTTAATATTTTTCTAGTTCTCTTTCTGTGTTTTCTTTTACGTATGCACCACGACATCAAGTCAAATTCCTCGTACGTGTCAACCTACATGGTGATAAACCTGTTTCTGTTTCTGTTTCTGATTCTTGATACATCTGCCCAAAAGTATGCACGGATCAGTTGTTCAGCTATATGTGTGAACAGCGCTCACCGTGCAGTGAAGCACCAAACATCTGTGGCCAGCAGAGCGGTCTGAGCGTCCGCCTGCAGCACCGTCTGCACCAAGCAGCGCTCCTGAAGAGATGAAGAGAGGTCAGAGAGACAGGGGGAGGAGGGGGAGAACGAACTAATTAAATAAACATTCGAGCAATTCCACAAAATGTAACAGTAACAGAGAAAATGAAAGTGAAAGAAAAACTAGCAGTGAATGAGGGGAAATCCTGCAGCAACACACAGATAGAAAGTTATCCAAAATAAATAAAAAGCTTAAATCCAGAGTCCAACCAGCCGAGACGTCTAGCTCCATGTGTTCTGTTCTAGTTTGCCTGCTTATATAATCGTTGAACAATACATGTTTTTTTACTTATTAAAGTCTACAATTATATTAAATAAAACATATAACAGAAATATATAAAGTTAGGTTGTATTAACTAATGATTAAATGGAGCTATACATGTTAATGGGCTACGATCTCTTTTGGTATTTTTGATCAAATACAAATTGCCAGTATTTAAAAACAGTATATGTCATAAACCAATATCAGCCAATTACACCTTATAACATTATATAGTTATAATAAGCAAAGTAACTAAAGATTATAAACTCATGGCAAGCACGCATGTACAGATGAGTTTAGGGTTAGTTCAGGTCCAAGAGAGACTCAAGACGTCTTGGCAGGCTTTCATCGTAACCCTTCAATATGGCTTAGCAAATGAGTTCTTGCCAATTAAATCACATTCCTGCCAAGATTATATCATATTCCAATCACTTGTATATAGACTCTTATTGCACTATTTCACTATTTTTATTTACTTGCATTATATTTTTTCTGTTTTTCTGTTTTATTGTGTTGCACTGTTGGAGGAGCCTGTGACCTAAGATTGTCATCGTCATAACTACACTGTACGTATGACCAATAAAAGCCTTGAACCGTGAGAGTTGCAGGTTTTTATCAACTCCTTGAGGATAAAACACAAATTCCAGACAGTACATGCGATAAAATAAAACACAAAAGTCTGGTTTCAGATTTAGTTTTGCTTTCTTTATCACTCTGTAATTCCCAATCGGTTTTTCTCAAACTCAATTGACATTTGTTGTTTCTAAAACGTGGGGGGGTGAATTGCTAGATGTGTGTGTCCAGTAGGGAACGGCTGATGAGAAATAAATACTTTGATTGCACTTTCACTTTTAAAATCACAGAGCAGTGGCTCAGTCGGTAGGGGCTTGGACTGTGAGTCGTAGGGTCGCCGGTTCAAGTCCCCGAACAGACCTAGGGTGTTTCTCAATCGCGAGTACGCTTGCTTGGTAGCACATGTCTGCCGAGCATCTTGCTTCAGAAGCGAGTCAAGAATACTTCCTGGCATTCGGAAAACGAAGAGTGGAACACGCTAGCAAGTGTGCAGGTGTGCGTCATATGAGAGGCCCCGCCTTACATTTTCCGTCACAGATTTGGGGAAATTGGTCCGTGCGCAAAGCATTGTGGGGATTTTAAGACCGCGAAGTCTACTCATGTGCACACTCGATATTTCTCCAAACGGAGTACGCCGGGCTCGGTAGATTTCCAAGTATGCTGGAGATTGGAACAGTACTTCGGCGGCACTCGATGACGTAGTATGCTTGAAATAGTGGCTCTGAAGCAGCTTTACTCGCGATTGAGAAACACCCCTAAACATGGAGTGTGGACTGCTACTTGGAGAGGTCCCAGTTCACCTCCAGCCCTGCCGTGATGCCCTTGAGCAAGGCACCGGACACCCCCACTCCCATTTCTCCCCGGGCGCTGCTGCCCACTGCTCCTAGCACTAGACTCCTGGTACTAGGATGGGTTAAAAGCAGAGAACACATTTCACTGTGTGTGCCGTGTGCTCTGCATGTGTGACCATTACAGAGGGGTTCATCCCATTCTATTCTATTCTATATATCTATAGTGCTTTCACTTCCAACAGATCTTTGCAAACAACTAGGACTTTAAAATAAGTTTCTTCTTCACCTGAATTAACAGTCATGTTTCCCATCTGATATCTGTTGAAAAGTACTCCTCTACTACTACTAGACTCCAACTGCTACATTTAGAACAATTGACAGGCTTCTGCGGGATGAAAGCTCCTCAAAGTGAAGACATAACTATTCCATCCCTCCCCTGTAGCTGGCTGTTGGTTTAGAAAGTGCTTGATGTGATTAGCAGATAAGTGGAGCACACATTTCAAAATTATATTATATAATATCGCAGTTGCACATGTACCCAGAGATGAACCAAAACATACACGATGGAAAATAGTCTTAATGTTATCAGCAGCACTGGACACAGTGTGTGTGTAGACCTCACCAGCACAGGGAGGAACACCGGAGGCACCGCAGCCACGCTGGCACAGAGCTGCACACAGAGGTGGTTGTGCAGAGAGACCTGGACCTGGGCCTGACCCTTCATCATCACCCCCGGCAACAGCACCGGTACCTGGCGCTCAGTGTAGCATCGCCTGAAACTGGTGAACAAGGCCTGGTAGAGAGGGAGCCTGGAAACAGAAGGGGTGGGAAAATATTTAAAATACATTTTAAAAAACACGCATTTCTGAGATCGTTACACATTAGCGTGAATACATTGATGAATAGTATAATCTTTTTCATGCAAAAATGCAATCTAAACTCACCTTATCTTAAATTAAATCCTATCCTATCCTGTTATGTTGGATCTGAAATTAATTAACTCTTTGAACAGTAAGAAACTGGAAATTAAAACATGTTTAAAAAGTGTTTTATAGGATTAGTAGAGTATCTAAATAATGGTGTCTGGTGGATTTAGTGGAATAAAGGCTTTAGTTCCCCGTTGGAAAGGGCCATCTGACAGCAAGACAAAGCATTGAAAATATTTAAATATAGCAACACTCTGATATTCTTTAAGGTGGCTAAAATAGTTTTGCTGCTGCCTCCAATCACAGCAATACAATGTCGTAAGTTACCCCCGTCTGCTTTTCCAAACTAGGAATCTACTGCAGGTAACAGACCAACTATGGATAAGTCTCTTTAACAACCCCACTTCCAAAGATCCAAACTATCTCTTTTAGTCACATGTTTCAACAGCACAAATTCTGGGGATGATAGCCGTTTATTACCTGGGAGTTTCCTCTGAGAAGTGGCTGCCAGAGTACCAAAGCTGCAGCACCTCCTCTGGTTGGGAGGAGAGCTGACCCAGGACGTTCACCAGCAGGAGACAGTGAGGAAGCTCATGTTCAGGAGACAGCCCTGCACACAAACAACACAAGGGACATTTTAACATTGTATGTTGGCAACCTTGTTTTAAGACATCTATTATCTTGTAATAGGCAAGGCAAGGTGTTAGGAAAATATCACTCGTCACCGGCTTGATCTTCAATATCAGGATATACGTATTTATTATCCTCTCAAGAATGGAAGTAGTCATCACATACAGAGCATCAACTAGTTCCTGAACAGTGTCCTTCACGTGCTGATATACAGTACAAGAGAATGTTACAGTCACAAGATGGAGGAATACCGGTTCAAAGCAGTATTCAATGTTTAATTCAGATTAGCTAAAGCCTGCGTAAGCAATAAACATGACAGTCATATGTCTATCTCCATAGAGGCTGAATCATCATGTTAATCACATAGCTATCTTATGCCTAAAACAGTCCGGATGCTCTTCTAGGTAATCATACATCCTGTTATGTACACAGCTACGTAGGGCCTTTGTTATCATGTGCTACTCTGATATTGGAAGAGTACATTCAGTATTTTCCCAACACAAGGCAAGTTTATTTATATAGCACCTTTCAACACAAGGCAATTCAAAGTGCTTTACAAAAATGAAAGACATTAAGAAACATATTATCAAAGGGCATTTAAAAACACTCATTTAAAAGCAAAGATAATAAAACATGAATAACAAAACGGTACATTAATTAAAGTGACAGTGCAGTGTGAGATACACACATCTGAAATGTTTAGGTCTGACTCTCAATCATTGCTCACTTTTTAGCAGAAATTGTTTTCTTTGACCTCACTTTCTTTCTACTTTCTTTTTTAACTTATCCTTAAGTTATCTCAAGTGTTTCATGCTAAACAAACCCCCCTTTGCAAATTCTAATCTGCAACCCAAAATTCCACGGATCCTGGCCATATTTCTGTAGCATATAAAATGTATTTGCTCCCAGACATTCATGTGGCTTGCTAGTTTTGGACCCCATCTGTAGTCAAAAAGTCGCCACTTATGGTCCTTTCAGTATTTCTAGTAATCACTTAAAGGTGGGGTAGGTAATTCACTTCAGAAACACTTTTTGTTATATTCCATGGAATGCTCTTAACATCCCGATAGCAATGAATACATTAAATGCTTTGACATTAAATACATAAAAAAATGTCATCTGTGGAAGCCGTGGCGCTGAAAAAAACACGACCAATCATCTGAGCCGGCCCAGCTAAAATAACTGGATGGCCTACCTGCCTGTCAGCCTTCCATCTGTGCACAAACTTATCTCGTGCCCTCATTGGTCATGTGCACGTTCGTGTGTGTTGGAGGAGGGGCTCTGTAAGGAAGTCTGAAGGAAGGGGCAGATTTTTTTCGGCTGCGGACTTTCAAATTCTAGCGCACTCGAGCTGGTTTCTCCATTCTTACCTACCCTACCTTTAAGCATACAATAGTGACTTTGGACTTTCTGTTTGATAGGAGCGTCCTCCTACCTAAGGTTACTTTACGGGCACAACCTCACAAAAGTACATTATTTCGAATAAGGAATGGTCTCAACTCATCACTGAAGATCCTCTAAAACCTGGCCACAGCAAAGGGAAACAGAAAAGCATCTGCCTGAATATCTTGAAATAAAAAGATTCAACGTTAAACTCACGCAGGTCCTGCTGGAGGACAATTTCAGCGAAGGGCCTTAGAGGCAGCAGCTGGAGCAGGAAGGCATCGATGGGAACCAGAGCGGCTGTATGCAGCTCCCCGGACAGAGCGGGGGGAAGAGCTGGAGCACACAGGCTGGGAGGGAACTTACTGAAAGACATTCAACTGTAAGTTTACGCACTACTCAATGATAAAAGATCAATTAAAGGCTGAATCTGCAACTTAAAACCACACGTACCACATTATCTGGAGGTAGAGTTGGTGAAAGTCGTTGCAATACTTTGTCAGAAAACATTTAAACTCCTGTTCAAATGATAAGAAATGATGGGATTTAAGTTCAGCTGCTTTGTTTTCTGAAGCCCAGAATGAAAATGTAACAGATATAGAAATGATCAAGAACATCCATTTCTTTACCTTTATGTAATGAACCAACGTGTTGGCAAAGAATCTGCACATCTTTGCAGTTTTCTGGAACAGTTTGTATTCTGGGCTTTGTGTCGACTCCTTTGGAAAGGGAAAAGGAGCAATAATTTTAAAAAAAGGTCACCAGGAGCTCAAATCTATTCTGATAATCCAAAGGGTCATGTTTTCTGTAAAACACACACAAATAAATGCTATAGTGGAGACTGTAGTTGTGTTAAGGACTGTCCTGTTCCTGGGTTGACATATTTACGTTTTCTATAAAGCTTTATTGGACAAACCACTGAAATACAATGTCCTGCCTATCTAGAAATGTACAAATAATATCTTGTGGATCTTTTTTCACCATTAAGAGCTTTACTACCTGTAGTCCAGCGTGTGTGATCTGTTCAGCGAGCTCCACAGAGGTGAGGAAGGAGGCCAGCAGGTTGTCACACAGGCTGCTGCTGATGTCTCCGTGATGCAGATGTTCCTCCACCAATGACTGGTACTTCAGACTCTGTCTAAACAGATGTAACCAAATGAACTATTACATGATTTCCAATACTTAAACTCACAGATAACATGACATTAAGTTTGACAACATGAGTGTCTGCAGTACTGACTTGATGACAAACTTCCATGTGTTTGCATGCAGTGCCATGTCCAAGTTAGAGGTGATGGAGCAGATATCCAGCAGGTTGTGAATCACTGAGGAAGATAAAAAATAACTTTTAACATCAGAAGGGTTTAATACTAAAAGATGTGTCAGTGGAAAACAAATACACACACAAACACATACCTGTTACGATGTCAGAGACCTCTTCCTCGGAGGCGCTGCTGTCCAGTGAGATCGGCTCCAGCAGCTCCAGCAGAGCCTTCTGGAGGGAGTAGGCCTCTTTAAAGAGTCCCTGCAGCAGGTCGGCCACCAGGGACCGGCGGCCGCAATAAACCACCTCACTCTCCTGAGGACAACATGCACAGTATGCTCAAATCATTTTCAATTAGTCACATTTTCACACAAATAAATCAATATTAAATAAATGTTTTTTTGTTTTTTTTTACGCTTCTATACGGTGGCCCGGAAGTGCAAGACACCACAGCATTTCACAAAACGCCGGAGCATTTCAGAAAACACAACAGCATTTCACAAAACACAACAGCATTTCACAAAACACAACAGCATTTCACAAAACACAACAGCATTTCACAAAACACAACAGCATTTCACATTGGACGGAAAGGGTATTCCTTTAGGGAGAACACTTCTTGCTTGTGATTGGACAGAGCCAGCCAGAGAAGCACTGCTGTGATTGGTTGTTTTTGCTGCCAGTCAAGAAATGGCGATTCGTGATTGGTCAGCACCCGACAGCGCAACATGTCCCAACACATCAACCGTTAGCTGTTAGCACACACTCAGAGCTCACAGCTCCTCATATCTGTTCAGAAACTGGACAAAAGTTAAACAAGTACAAACCACAGACTGTCTATGTCATGGCGAATACAGTCGCTGCTTTATTTATGTCTGTATGACGCTGTTGTGAGTTTGGACGGAGCAGCTACAGGTTAGTTTAGCCTGATCGATCCGCCCCCTCTCCAGCACGTCTTGTTTGAATGACAGGAGTAAACACTGACAGCTGCGGTGAAACTCGACAACAAAATGAACATATTGACCGTGATTTAACTGTAATACACGTTTCAAAGTGATGCCGAAGTAACTACATACTGATACCGGTTAGTAAAAACCATGAATTAATGCTTTGACAAGTCTGCAGACAAGAAGGCAGGCGAAAAGCTTTTAAAATGCGTGTTTTCTGAATGGAATCGGATCCATCAGGCTAAACTAACCTGTAGCTCAGGGGTGTCAAACTCAAGGCCCGGGGGCCAAATCCGGCCCGCGACTTCATTTTATGTGGCCCCACAAGAGCTTGCAAAGAATATAATATGTTTATTATACGGTTACATGCTACTTTACAGAAGCACGTTGCCCATAAACGACATGTCCCACAATGCATCTCAAATTTGACTTTTTCTCAGAATTTGACTTTTTTTGTCCAAATATGCCTTTTTTCTTAGAATTAGCCTTTTTCTCATAAATAGATTTTTTTTTCAAAATGTCACTTCTCTTTTTCAAAATGTCACTTCTCTTTTTCAAAATGTCACAATCAATGTTTTTCCAGAATGTGGCTTTTCTTTTAAAATCATATTGTGACATTCTTACTGAAGAGACTTGCAATTATTTGCTCTAGACTTCTGCTTTCAGACGTAGTTAATTATGAAGTTATATTAATTAATGATATAGTCTTAAAGTTACAACCGGCCCTTTGAGTGCAACCATAATGCTGATGTGGCCCGTGATGAAATTTAGTTTGACACCCCTGCTGTAGCTGCTCCGTCCACACTCACAACAACGTCATACAGACATAAATAAAGCAGCGACTGTATTCACCATGACATAGACAGTCTGTGGTTTGTACTTGTTTAACTTTTGTCCAGTTTCTGAACAGATATGAGGAGCTGTGAGCTCTGAGTGTGTGCTAACAGCTAACGGCTGATGTGTTGGGACCATAGACTGTATATATAAAGGTTGGGACATGTTGCGCTGTCGGGTGCTGACCAATCACGAAGCGTCATTTCTTGACTGGCAGCAAAAACAACCAATCACAGCAGTGCTTCTCTGGCTGGCTCTGTCCAATCACAAACAAGAAGTGTTCTCCCTAAAGGAATACCCTTTCCGTCCAATGTGAAATGCTGTGGTGTTTTCTGAAATGCTGTTGTGTTTTGTGAAATGCTGTGGTGTCTTGCACTTCCGGGCCACCGTACTTCTATGGACAATTTTGCACTAATGATATTGAAGTGACTGTTATTTTGTATATATTGATTTTTGTGTTTTTTGTTTTAATCTTAAAGGTAGGTAAGAATGGAGAAACCAGCTCGAGTGCGCTAGAATTTGAAAGTACACAACTGAAAAAAATCTGCCTCTTCCTTCATACTTCCTTACAGAGCCCCTCCTCCAACACACACGAACGCGCACATGACCAATGAGGGCACGAGATAAGTTTGTGCACGAGATGGAAGGCTGACAGGCAGGTAGGCCATCCAGTTATTTTAGCCGGGCCGGCTCAGATGATTGGTCGTGCTTTTTACAGCGCCACGGCTTCCACAGACGACATTTTTTTATGTATTTAATGTCAAAGCATTTAATATATTCATTGCTATCGGGATGTTAAGAGCATTCCATGGAATATAACAAAAAGTGTTTCTGAAGTGAATTACCTACCCCACCTTTAATGTGTTCACATGTATAAATGTGTCTGTTGATTGTGTAGGACAGGGGTGTCAAACTCAGATACACAGTGGGCCAAAATTAAAAAATGGGTACTAGTCGAGGGCCGGACTGGTTCAATGTTTATTGCAAAACTTATTGAAATGAACTTATTGCACATATTAAACCTGGAACTAACAAATCTTAAATTATTGCCTATTAAAAACAACTTTAAACATTAAATAATCAGTTGCATTCATTTCTTATGGCTCTATCTGCAGCTTTTCTGGAGTCATTTCTCATGATTACATTTTCCCACAGGCCAACAACAGCTTCGATTTCCCTCAAAGAAAAAACCAAACATGTCCTGTTGTTGCAAGAAAGAAAGTGCAGAAGGAAACATCCATTAAACTCAGTTTGCTGCTCTGTGATGCTAGTTCAAGCCAGATACTTGGCATCTCATCTTGGGTGCAAGTTCATCAATGTTTGGGGTCAGGCTCTGAGCTGAGGAAACCCTCAGGATTGAGTGAAGGTGTGCGTGCAATATACCGGCGGGCCAGATCTAATAGTAATTAAACATTATCCTGCGGGCCGAAATTAAATCCACCAAGGGCCGGACCTTGAGTTTGACACATGTGGTGTAGGATATACATATTTTATACATATTTGTTTTTTTATATTCGGGATTGTGGGAAACGGTATTTCGATCTCTCTGTCTGTACACACCAACTGAAAGATTGACAAACAAGTTGACTTTGACTTTGATAACTCGTTTCTATTAAAATTAGGAATTGAATTGATGTTCCCTTTTTATCCCCGAGTGTTTCCTGCGACAAAGAGATGCTTATCACAGTTTCCTGTTGTGAGGTTATCATGAGCTGTTGCACCTAAAGTTACACTTCTGGTAATACATGATTGCATAAGAAGAAAGAGGATAATGAGGAGGAAGTACAAATGAGTCCCTTTAGGAATGTTTGAATGTTCTGAAAAAACTAAGCACTTTTTTATTACAGTTTTTCCCTTTTGAATAAATAACAATAGCTAAATAGATCAAATCCCATTTTTGAATTCTGATAACTAAATGCATGATTTCTTATGTCATTGTAATAATTATAGATGCATTAAGAGCTGCATTACAAGTTAAGAGTGACTAAGCAGACGTACCTTGCAGTGCTGAAAGGTTTCCCTCAGGACTTTCAGGATGCAAGTTGGTAACGAGCGGATGGCGTCTATATCAGGAGTTTCCTCGAACGAACCAACATGACGCACGCAGGTGGATAGAGCATCGATTATCTGCATCATTGCCTGAAACACACAACAGCATCTTGTCAACATATTGGTTGGTATAGAAGTTAGGGCAATGTTTGTCAGAGAATATATAACTTACATAGCATAACATGTCATTCTAATTTGAACATTTTGATAACAACAAGCAGTACCTGCAGGATGTTCCTGAGAAAGGAACACAGTTCAGTGTTTTGACTCGACAGGCCTCCAACTTGGTTCATGATTTCTTTCATCATGCGGTCAAACATCGTCACCGCCTGCAGACATTTATGACAGATAGGGGCAATAACAGTCACACAGACTTATCAATAAACACTTTTAAGGGAAAATGTAAATGAACCAGATATTCACAAGATAAATAAAGCTCTATCAACAAGTCCTACAACTTCTAATATGTAGGAAGTACTCGTCAAAAGAGATCTCGTCAAAAGAAAGACTTTAAAGAAACATACAACATCACCAACTGACATTGAAAAATCTTCAATTCAATCAAAAATGTTATGTGACATTTGGAAAACAACTACCTATATATTGTGCTGTTTGAGATCTTTAAGGGCCTTCAGTTCAGAGATTATCACCTAATTTAAAGACTTTTTCCATCACATGCATTCACTCTGTGTTATGCAACTAATTCTATTCACGTGTATTTGCATTCATGACATTGTTTAATGTTTACCTTTGGTAGGATCTTGGAGAAGCATTCATCTTCCAGCTCAGACAAACCAATATGAGGGAGGAACATGTCTGTAATGATCTTCAACACACCTGCAGGGATGCAGTATGATCATACTTAGATCACAAGTAACACTCAAGGCACAAAATGAGGTGATTGATTATTATAAATTGTGCAATGAAGAAACTTACGTATATGGTCATCCCAACTCTCAGAGTTATTATGCAAAGAGTGAAAAACAGTCAAGGAAAACCACTGCAAATTCAAATCATATATATTTCCTTATACAGTAGATAAGGATTGCAATAACAGTGAAAAAGTATGATGGATAAGCTTGAGCAAAACCTAACCTGCACAGATTTCCTCGAACATACTAAACTACATGTTTGTCAAACTTTAACATCTTAGACTGTACGGGCATACTGATTCCCCCTCATAAAACACTTAATTTCATAGACAGGTAGACATAATCCCACATTTAGTGTGTCTATTCCAATGCTTTTTCAGTAGTTTGAGCATTTCAAAACTTCAAAACAAGACCTGCATATCACTGGACTCTCCTTATTGAAAACACTAGTGTATGATGCTATGAATCATGACATCAAATGAGTAAACCTGATTATGTCTGAGAGGATATGGTGAGTTTTGGCAGGACGGACTTGAGCTCCTGGCGGCAGGTTTCCTGACTCCACTGCACCACCTCGTCCAGGAGAGAGGAGTTGGTCTGGGACATGATGACAGCTGAGCGAGGTCAGGACGACTGTGTACACACCACACAATGATTGAGTGATTGATTGATTGAATTGATTGATTGATTGATTGATTGATTGATTGATTGATTGAAAAGTTTATTAACAGCTTGTATATTGGGTACAGTACAGTACAGCTCAAAACATACAATTGTTAAGGGGATGCAGACCAGAGAAAGACTTTCGTCTTGTTTACATCAGGGTCCCCCATTTCCAATTCATCATATGAGAACAATGGCAGCGACTGAGTCACCCAAAATGTCTCAAAGTAAGAAAGCTTTAGGTGTATTTTTGGACAAAACATCGCTGAGTGTGTAAACAAGAGAGCTAGCTTAACGGTGTGTTATGCTAAACATTAAACATGGTTATGGTTAATTTAGATAATACGTATAGCTTCTTACCATAAATGACAGTCTGTGTCTTCTGTTCAGGAGCATTAAGCCACAACTACGAGTTTGTGTTGCCAAACGTCACCGTTAAATCTTTGTTTTAAATGTAGAAAACTGAAAGAAAACCGAGTTGTTTGTGGACATCAGGCAGAAACATAGCGCGCGCCGTTGTTTGAATCGGATGTGACGTAGAGAGTAAAGCTGCTCATCTGCCCTCAGTCTGATTGGTTAAAAATGTTACACTGCAAAACTTTCAACCAGTGAGAGAACGCAATGGGGGGAAAGCGGTGAAAATAACAACTGTCTAGATGAAGCTTTAAATAAAAGGTGAAATATGAATATAATATGCGTACTAAATCAACAAATCTGTGAAAAGTATAAATATAATGTCATTCATATTTTACCCCAAAAAATAATATGGGTGCGAATTTATTTATTTGTTAATTGATCCAATCTCTTCCTTTTAAAGAACTTTATAAAGAGTAATTCATTAAGTGTAAATATAATGACCTATACAAAAACAATACCTTCCCTTCAGAACAAATCCCCAAATCCAGTTTGATATATTCATGATCAATGAGACAGTCTCTGACAGGTATTTATTTTCTCATTTTAAGCTACATAATAATAGGTGAGGAGCCTTTTCCAATCTGTGTTCGTTTAGTAAAACCAAAAGTATGTTATGCACACTTGTTATATTAACCCTTATGTTGTGTTCTGGTCTCCCATGACCCGTTTCCAGTTAAAATTATAATATCACTACGCTCTAGTTTTTTTTTATCGGAACAAGGCTTCATGATATCCATTTTAGCCAAGTCTGAAGGTCTCTAAAAAAAAAGTGTATAATTTGGTGTTGGGGTCTGGGAAGACCCAGCAGCATTGTTGGGGGTGACTCGAGGTCAAATTTGGCCCAATCAAGATTCACCTTTGACTTTAGACACCCCAGCCCCACCCCCTTCATCAACTGTAACAATAATTTTTCGCAACATGCACCTGGTCTCCCATCCATCTGCCCCCCTCCCCCCACGGGAACTCAACCTTTCTCAAAGAATATGTACACTAACACTTGAACCTGAACACACATATGCACGTGTGCAATATGTGGTTTAATGTGTTTTGGGCCATAACATTAAATTACAACAGGATTGTACGGTTATGAATGCATTATAAGTTAGTTATGATGTAGTTAAAACAATATTGGATGATAGTCATCTTTTTTGGTGTTTTGGACTGAGGTAAATCATGGGTCAAAATTGACACGCAAACACCATGAACGGTAACAGCTTTTGAACACAACACAAGGGTTAAGTTATGCTTTATTAATAAGTCTTGAAGAGCTATTAAGAATATGTTGTTCAAGAGGATTTGAGCCAAAAGCAACATGATTGGCCTAACGGTTACCTCATAATGGGGTTTTATAGTCTAATCCAAATAAAGAAATAACATAATTGAATAACAAATCAAGCTGACATGGCCACCAAGGGCCTGCATTTAGGACACATTAAAACCATGCACCTGTAATCTGTTAGGGTTTTGGGTCTGTTCGGTTTAAAAGCAGTTTCTATCTTCTCAAAGTGAGCAAAACACATCTTTGATTGAGAAATGTCACTTCATGCTTATCCATTGTGACCTGGCGATGAACTCCGTGAAAGAGTAATAAAATGAATCACATCATGGATGAGTATTGGAAATCACAATTTCCGAGAGACATTGTTATGAACTTGATTTACTGGCAGTACACAATCCACTCACTAAGCCCTTAAGAAAACACATAAGGACTATGTATAGGCGGGTAGATCATGACTGAGATGTTTAAGAATGTTTAGATTATATTCTAATCAGTTATGGGAAGGCTGATATTCACCCATTAGCAGTCTGGAATTTCTCTTGGCTCCGACCCCGTTGACTCCATCAAATCAGTGTCTTGTGGGCTATTGTTTCCCTGATAGGATCTTGAGCACTGAAGTAAAGCAGCTGGCTTCTGCTGAATCTTTGTTTCCCGACAGCCTAAGGTGTCGGCGGCTGGTGGCTCAGGAAGGGCCGGACTTCTTGTTTAGGAAACGGGACTCCACATTTTATGTTTATCTCTCTTCACAAACAGTTCATTGGGATTTTGCATCCAGTGTACAGACACTAAAAAGGAAATATCAAGATATACAGTATTCTCCCCCAGCTGAATCAGGTTGCATGATCTACTCAATTTTGTAGTGTTTTTTTAACATTAACATGACGAGTACTAATACAATTCCTGTACATTCGTGTGGCTTTACCAAGTGAAACATTTTTAGATCTGACGTGAAAAAAAATGTTGCTGAAAATCTCAGAATTATCATTATTTTCTAAATTTTTCTTTAAATGTTGCATTGAAAAAAACAAAAACACGTGGGCCTAATCCTCTTCCGTACTTTTGCAGGCTGACTCAAAGCAATTTTCAGATTTTGTATTGCTTCCCAAAGAATTTTTTTTTCACTTTGTAATGATGGAAAGTGTCTTTCTTAAAGGTGGGGTAGGTAAGTTTGAGAAACCGGCTCGTGATCGCTAGAATTTGAAAATACACAACCGGAGAAAATCTGCCACTTCCTTACAGAGCCCCTCCTCCAACACACACGAACGCGCACATGACCAATGAGGGCACGAGATAAGTTTGTGCACAGATGGAAGGCTGACAGGCAGGTAGGCCATCCAGTTATTTTAGCCGGGCCGGCTAAAATGATTGGTCGTGCTTTTTACAGTATTAAGGCTTCCACAGATGAATTTTTTGAATGGATTTTTTGTCAAAGCACTTCAGATATTCATTGCTATCGGGATGTTAAGAGCATTCCATGGAATATAACAAAAAGTGTATCTCGAGCCGATTTCTCAAACTTACCTACCCCACCTTTAAAGTTAAACTATACTCCGTAAATTAGACTTTTTTTCATTTTACAATGTATACAAATTCTTAATCAACTTCAAAGTCAATATCCAAGATATATTACAAATAACATATTGTAGATCTAACTAAGAAACTCTATTGTTGGGTTTATATTTTGTAAGATTGAAAAGATTATAAGTAAGGCAGCTAAAAAAATGACCTTTTAACCATTCCATAACTAAACTGAGTGATTGCAATGGTTATGTTTCACCTGAAATCTCATTAAACACTTTCTGTAAAACCCATTTTCCAAGAGGATGGTTTCAGTGTAACACAATTGAAGTCTTCTTCCTCCCTAGCTGAACTCCAATAGAGAGGTTATCTTTTTTACAGGAAGCTGGCGCCGGATTGAGATGGAAACTGGAAGGAAGAAGCCTTTTTGTTTTTCTTTCTTTGAGGTCGCTGGGCAGCCGGCAGAACTATTGAGTATCAGAGTCTATGTTAGGTCTGCTGATGAGGGTCAAGGTGAATGGAGCTCTCTTCAGAGAATTGACAGCAGCTAACTCTGTTCATATAATCACTGTTTTCTTTACAACTCACCCAGTGAGTCAGGAGCAGGAAAAAAGTAATCGAAAGAATGGGCGCCACCGCTGGCACACAACGTGAACCTCATGTGGGAAAACCCAGAGGAAAAGGATGTAGATTATAGTGATATTAATAGAATAATCTTATTATTATAGGTTATATTTTGTAGTTAACACCTTCAGAATAATATAGATTTACAAAACCAAGCGTAAGCAGCTTATCAACACAGATTAGAACTTCTGACTTATGAAGGGTCAGAAATAGTTATCAATGTTTCCATCATATTAGGAAAACCCAGAGGGATTTTCTTTTTCATGTTGGATTTTGCATTTCACAGATTGATTCATCATACATAAAGTCCTACAACAACTATTAGATGTATTACTTACTATACAATGTTGTAATATGTTGTTGGTCCCCAGAGGATGAATAACTTAGTGATCCCTGAGCTTCTCCCTCCGGTGCCTCCGTGATATATATCAACAGCGTCCTCCAAGATAAAAAAACTACTTTGGTGACCCTTTTTTCTGTAGCATCACTGCAAGAATTTTCTGTGTTTTCACTGAAAAGTCTCAACAGTTGAATGGACAGTCATGAAATCTACTTTTGCCTTTGCGCCACCATAAAGCCACATTTTCATTTGTCCATACATTACTTAGAACTAAATACCTGCCTAACTAAAGACATTGCCATCAGCCTCAGCTGTACTTTGTGTTCAGTGCTTATAAGTAAACGTAATCATCATACCTGCTGTGGCTCTTTACTCATAACCTGTGTCCCAAAAACCTTCTAACCAACTGTTTAATTTTACTGTCGTAGAAGTTTATATACCTACTTTATCATTGACTCCCAAATGACACAATATTATGTGTACCTTTGGTTGTCAATCAAATTGCGACTTTTGTACTGCACTGCAAATCATAATGTATTTTCTTTTAGATTCAGCACTTATTTTAAAAATATTTTGGCAACTGTTTCACCACCGACCACAATGTATTTGAATGGTTTGCAACTGTAAAGTACCTCAACTTCCTTTGTGCATTTTCATCAACACAACTGAAACAATCAGAGATCAACCGTATTCATAATGAATGCAGTTTGCTTTGAGAATCATTGTTCTAAAAACACATACAAACTAATAACCTGATATTTGTATTTGGGAAAAATGCTTTGTGTTCCTCGAACTGCTCAGAGTGAAAAAATAGATCTCCTCACAGTTGTTTCACATTTCACTTTAGTAATTTAAAGGTTAGATAAAATACATTATATTAAACTGGATCAAATCTTTGATAAATGTATATTTGGGAGAGAAGAGAGGGGACCAGCCTTTGCTCAAATGTGTGTGCATGTTAAACCATGGCTCAGCTCAGGCTGTTTTATCCAGCTGTGATCTTATTTATAATTTTTGTCTCGAGTTTGTTTTTATTTCTGGCTTTTATTTATTATTGCTTTATTGTCTGTAAAGCTCTGTCACCATTTAACCTTACAAGCACATGAAAGTGTGTAACCATGAGTGCAAATGAAAGCCCCTCTTATCTCCGCTTTCTAATTTCCAACGACAAACTTTTCCTCAGAGGAACAGGATATGCTAGTGACTCCAACCGGCTCACCCCTTCCTGTATGGACTTCACACTTGGCACCCGGCCCTTAAATTCTGATAAACTAAATCAGTCACCAAGCAAAAGTGAAATGAAACACTTTAATTAGAGGATTTATGTTAGAATAGATAATACCACATCCTTTACATCGTGCTGAATGAAGAGGAGAAAACGTGTAATCAAAGAGGACATTTTTGTGCTTCTTTTGTGCTTTTAGAGAATCAGGACCATCTATTATATGCAGAATGGTGTGTTTTATTTAAATTATGGTTGGACATAAGGATTGGAACTGATTAACAAAGGCAGACATTTTAATGAGTTGCAGATTTACTCTATTTCTTGTCGTCAGACCAGGTGATCTCGTAGTCGCTGAAGGCACTCTTCAACTTCTCCGCAGACACAGAATGGTCTGCTTTACCAAACGCCTGGAAATAAGTCAAAGCATATAACCATTAACATCACATGATATAGTATTTGTAGTGTATTTGATTCAGCTCTTAATGCATGTCCAATCAAATGAACTTACAGTTGATTCTCCAAACACCCTCAGTTTTTTCTCTTGGCTGTTGTGCTCTATCTTCCCTCCTCCAAGGCATTTACACTCCATCCCCAAGGCCTCCATAGCTGGATTGACCTTCTCAAATATATGATCTGTAAATAAATAAAATCATTAATCAAAAACATGCAATCTACAGTACAGTACATACAGTAATTCCTGTCTCATATGTTCTTTTATGGACGTTGGCTCCAGTATTTGTAATGCAATGCACTATGGTTGCAGTACATACAATACTGGTCTTTGCATGATATTTGCACCTAAAGTACAGGTGTCAATTCTGGTCACAGCTTTTTCATTTGCAGCTGATCTGACACACTCTGCAGCAAACTAAGGTTATGAACTTACTGTGATACTCTGCACTTTTTGTGCCTCGGACTATATCTTTATGCACATCCCCATCTTTCACTTTCACTGTGAGCAGAATGTACTTAAAGGTTCCCTCTGAGTCAATCTCTACCACGGGGATGTTAGCCAGGGCGTCTGCCATTGCAGCTGAAGTTATAGAGAAAGCTCCGGACAGTCTGGCACTGAGCAGAGATCTACCGAGGACTGACAGCAACATGGGGCTCCTTACGAATTACTTTATTAGGATCGGGACTTCTATTTCCTGTCTTAAAGAGACAGACAACCTGCACGCTGTCGCCATTACTGTGCAGGATAATGCAGGCGACCCCGTGTGGCCAAAAGAGGGAACTGCTACACAAACCATAACACCTCCGATAGATAACAGTGGTGCAATGTGGATGTACTAAAAAAGTATTATGTAACTTCATACATAAAAGGTAACAAAAAGTTCTTCACAAATCATAAACCAAATCAAAGCAATACTAACCCTCCTCCCAGTACAGAGCAACAACACATGACTTTTTGATAATTAAAAACTCAATTTACCAATAGAAGACAATGAACAAAGGACTAAATAAAACAAGAATAAATATATTTGAATTAAAGGTGGGGTAGGTAATTTTGGAGAAACCAGCTCGAGTGCGCTAGAATTTGAAAATACACAGCCGGAAAAAATAAGTTAAGATAAGTTTGTGCACAGATGGAAGGCTGACAGGCAGGTAGGCCATCTGATTGGTCATGCTTTTTACAGTACTACGGCTTCCACAGATGACATTTCTTTATGGATTTTTTGTCAAAGCACTTGAGATATTCATTGCTATCGGGATGTTAAGAGCATTCCATGGAATATAACAAAAAGTGTATCTCGAGCCGGTTTCTCAAACTTACCTACCCCACCTTTAAAAGCCAAATTAAAAAGTTGGGTCTTGAGTTGGCTTTTAATAAATATGAATATATCTGCCAAGAAGTACAAATCTGAGGTACTTCAGTTAACATATCTTCTTCTTAAAAACTCTTTTACTTTATACTTTTAACCCATTTGATACACATATACATTAGTTACTAGCTAATTTGCAGATTAAGGTTATATATACAAAAAATCTCAATAGACCAACAAATTATAATATATTTGTATAGGACAAGCTACACAGCAGTATCCTAAAAGATTTAATAAGCTCAACTTTTACAACATTTAAGTGATAAACACATGAATGCATCACTAATTATATTTGTATGATTCTCAAATTGGCAATGCTACTTCTAGTATATTTATATGCTTATATACTTTTGTACTTGTATGATTTTGAATGCCCGAAATGTACTTGTCACTGAGTATTTATACACCGTAGTATTGCTATTTTTACTTGAGTAAAAGATCGGAGTACTTCTTCCTCCTCCGGTATCAGCGTAACGCAGTTTATATTTGATCGGATCAACAATCGACTGTTGGCTAGTCCATTTGTCACTCAGGAGTCCATTTGTTTGATCTATCTATTAGATTTGTTATTTCCTGTAGCGAGAGAAGATTTTCCGCTGGTGTCTATCAGGAATGTCAGAGGTCAGAGACGGAGCTGGTGTTAGTAATGTAGTATAACAAATATTAAATCATCCAAAATTGCATTAGACAGTTAAAATACAAACCTCTACTTTTCTGCTTTATCACGCCAAATAAGATATTGATGTAAATAGTAGTTTTGTTTAAATTGAATGTGATTAATACATATCAAATTTAATCATCATTTCATAGGCGTACTGTAAACAGTAGCAGAAAATTTAGTAATATTATCCTTTTCAAAGGATTAAAATTGCTTTGCCCTAACCCACCTCTTAAATGCATGATTATCTGCCGGAATATATGCTTTTATACAGTTTAAAGATATACATGGAGACTCAACATTAATAGACATTTCTGTTAATCCGCCAATCGAGCCATCTTGACAAATGTTCAACTTTAGTTTCTAGTCAGGTGTAATTACAGCTACAAAAACAAATACAAAAACATTAAAATAGGAACAACAGTGCTGTACTAATATAAAAACACATTTTAGGAATAATATGGACAGGAAGGACAACAATAAACACATTCACAACCCTAACCCTAACCCGTCCCTAACCCTAACCCTATGTGACAATGTGTATGATGATCTTACTGTGTTTTTAATGATATTTTAATGCCAGAAATAAAACATTTGATAAATTGGAACCACGTCTCCTGCCCCTCAGTATCACGAACCTGAGTGCCTTGTTGGTACTTGGAATAAATTATTTCCTTGGGTGCAATTCCCAAGGTGGCGTTGTCTGGCTTTTAGTGGAACAGGATTTCCAACAAACACCCCCACGTGCCGCCACAAACTGTCAAACAGTTAAAAGGTGTGAAGCAACAGTGGTTCCTCTCCTCTGCCCGGGTCGGAGAGGAAGGATGTGAACTGTCAATTCTTGAAACACAGACAGCCTGCAGGCGCCTCTGCTCCTGCTGCACACATTTCCCGTCTCTGGACAGTCATAAAATAGTACATTTAAAGTGTCTGTTTGCTGCTATTTCATTTTTTTTTTTTCTTTATTTGGAAGAGCACATCCCAGGACATGTTAATGTGTTTATTTGAAGTGTGAAGAGCGTAGTCTATGAGTTGTCTACTAATAGGCATCAACTCATGAAGACGTCACTTCTCTTCTTTTATTTGATGGCAATTATCTAAAAGGTACTTTTCTGAATAAGAGGAAACACTGGGAATATCTTTGGCACTCTAAATCTCTCTCTGGCACTCTTATCAGCTCACATGAGCTCACAGCTTTCAAAACTGGAATTTCCTTTTCATTGCCTTTCACTTCAGTGTGTGTTCTGTACGCTCTCCTCTCTTCCCCAGGAAACGTATTGCTTACGTTATGCTACTTATTTTGTCTTTGCTACTGTATGTGTGTGCTAATTTGCCAAGTTCCAAGGAAGGCCCATTCATAAATTATCAGTGCGTTAGAGCGTTTTTTTATTAAGTTTGGATACTTTATGAAACTGAAAATAAAGATTCAACTAAAATACTCCGTCAAAAGTCAAACTGAACATGTTATTTATGTCAAAGTGTGATCAGTGTTATGTATCAAAGTGTAGTCTGGTTAGAGACTGGTTGTTATTTAGGCTCCCCCATGCAACTGCATCATTGGCGAATAACGAGATATTAGTATATCTGGTTTTATTGTAAATATATATATGCTGTATATTTTACAGTGAAGATAATGTGTGCATTTTGAAAGGCATGTCTAAAAAATCTTGAAATGTATATAAAACATCAAAATAAATGTAGAATGGCTCCTTTTAATGTGTAGGATAATTGTATATTTTACATTACTTATCATTAGTGAAACAAAACATTGTATTTTATTTATATATTAAGGACACCACGTGTTTTGGATGAAAAACTAAAGTAACTATATCTCAATTGTATGTAGTGTAATAAATATACACTATTGTAAAGTACAACTACTTCAAAATTGTACTTAAATGTAGTAATTAAGTAAATATGATGGTCTCCAGTGAGAATGATAGTAAAAGGAATAATTGAAATTCCAATAATAACAGAACATTTCTCCTGAAGCCAAGGATGTTTTGTGTGAGAGTGAGGAAGAGAGAGAGAAAGTTGCCAAGGACCCCCGGTGGGGAGGAGGGGGAGGTTGGAATTTCCACTGAAATCCAGCTTGTGATCAGGGCTTCCAGGAAAAGGGGGACCAGGCTGATGAAGGGTATAAAAGGCAGGCATCGCAGCTCATACAACTCAGAATCATTTCATCCTCTGACGTGCTCAGACTAAAGAAATACTGAGAGTCTTCTGAAGGTTATCACATATACCACTTAAAATGGTGAGTGTGGAACTTTGTAATACAGTTGTCTTTACTTCAAACGCCTTCATTCTTTGTCTATAGTCAGTGTTGCATTTAATTGATCTTTTTAACTTTATCCTTACAGGAATTCTTCTTTGGATTACTTCAAACTTGCAGTTCTAAGACCTCATGGATCAACCTTACCTTTCTTTGTTCAAGTATGTTCATCCAGAATCACACTTTCCATTTTTCTTTTCTACTTACTTTTTTAAATGTATCCTTATTACACTTCCATCTAACTTGTGTCCTCCGTCCTCAGTGCTGTGCATGTGGACAAGTGTCGAGTGCTGGTCCTACGTCTACTCCGACGACACAATGTCTTGGTCAGCTGCTCGAACCTGGTGCAAGGTCAATTACACGGACATGGTGGCCATCCAGAACCAGGAGGAGATCACCCATCTCAACAGCTGGCTGCCCCGGAAAAAAAAATATTACTGGATCGGGATCCGCAAGGTCAACGATGTCTGGACCTGGGTCGGAACCAACAAGACTCTGACAGAAGAGGCAACCAACTGGGCAAAGGGAGAACCAAACAATGGAAAGCGTTTGGGGTCGAATGAAGACTGTGTGGAGATGTACGTTAAGAGGGAGCAACAGGCGGGCAAATGGAACGATGAGAGGTGTGCCAAGCCTAAGACCGCTCTGTGCTACACAGGTGAGCAAATGTTAGGAATTAGGATACACCACAACAGGTTATTGTTAATAAACCTGATTCTGATTCTACAAGAGCTGCTAATTTCTGCTGCCGTAGTTATTTTTCGTGGCTTTTAAATTCAAAAAGACTTAGGGAAGTAATACAAGTTATATTAAAGTATTGCTTCTTTCCCCAGCTGCCTGTAAGAACGACTTGTGCCAGCATGGAGAGTGTGTAGAAACCATCAACAGCCATAGGTGTGCTTGCTTTGAAGGCTTTTACGGAGACCAGTGTGAGCATGGTAAGTAAATGTTAATGTTAAATCTACATTACGTTAAGTCATTTACAGCCAGGTCCTGATATCTAATTGCGTCTTGTTTTCTTTGTTGGCAGTTGTCGAGTGTAAGGAAGAGGAGGTGACCGTTCCAGATAAAGGAAATGTACATTGCACTCACACAAATGGAAACTTCTCCTACGACTCCTCGTGCCAGTATTCCTGTGAGGAAGGATACCAGTTGAGTCTGTCCAGACCCCTGAGGTGCACTGCGTCCAAACAGTGGTCGGAGCAGCCTCCTACATGTGAACGTGAGTTAAGCTGCAAAAATAATGATATTGGTATTGTGTTTTCAAGTAATTAGATTCGGAGAAACAAAATTGTGTTTTCACAACCATGGAGTCTAAAGTGTTTTTGATGGTTTTGTCGTCAACAGTGGTTCAATGTCAGCCGATGTCGACTCCAGAAAGGGGATCCATGACGTGCTCCAATCCCCTCGGCTCCTCCAGCTTCAGCTCCACATGTGTGTTTGCCTGTGATGAAGGCTATGAACTCGCTGGTACACCTCAAAACACTCTGCAATGTGAAGCATCAGGAATATGGAATGCCTCACAGCCATTTTGTGTTGGTACGTACATGTTTTTATCTTGCAAGACTCTCTTCGTATCCATTATACCACTGCTTATTTATTTTCAAGTCTGTTATTAAGAGGGGAAAGCTTTATGATGTTATTAAAAGGCTCCTTCTGACCTGTTCTTTCCTCCTTCTGTTTTGCAGCTGTCCAGTGCCCTGATCTCCAGGAGCAAGATAACGGCCTTCTGAACTGTGGAGACGATGCAGATGTGAGGTTCAGCTTCGGAAACACCTGCAGCTTCAGCTGTGCTCCGGGCTACCAGCTGGTGGGAGCTAGCAGGGTGACGTGCACGTCTGCAGCTGAGTGGAGTGAGAGGATGCCTCAATGTGAAGGTGAGGACGCAGCTTAAGTTGACTCCAAACTACTTTTATGTTTTAAGCCTTTGTGACAAACTTTTAAAATGTGCTTTTTTACTTTCTTGTGTTAGCCATCACTTGCCAGAATCCAGAGGGAGCTCACATCATCACACAGTGCAGTCCACCTGTGAATGACCTGCGACCAGCCTCCACCTGCAGCTTCACCTGTGCAGCAGGCTTTGAGCTGCAGGGAGCACACAGCACTCAGTGTTCTGAGGACGGACAGTGGAGTAATGCCATACCTACCTGCAAAGGTAAGGAAGCCTTTGTTCACATACATCTATGCTTGCACTATTTGCTTTTTCTTGGCTTCGTCATGACATCTCATAATCTTTATTTTTCAGCTATTGGATGTCCTGCCCCTGAGATCCCATCAAGTGCCCAGATCAGCTGCAGCCCTTCTCTGTCGTCACCTGTTTCTGCCGGGACCCCCCATCCACTTGGTATGGTCTGCATGTTCAGCTGTGATGAAGGCCATGAGCTGACAGGTGCACTCAGCATGGAGTGTGCAAATCCAGGCCAGTGGACCTCCACACCTCCAAATTGCACAGGTTTGCACATTATACTTAATATATATCATGATACCTACTTCTTCTACATGCATTGGTTAGAGTTGATATGCCCTTTATCAATATGTGATGGTTCATATCTAAATTCTTACTGTTTTCTCCCACAGCAGTGAGATGCCCTCAGCTCGAGGCTCCTGAAAACGGCCATGTCAACTGCTCCAACAGTGATCCAGTATTCAACTCACAGTGCTCCTTCACCTGCAATCAAGATTTCTCTTTAGACGGACATGACCTGCTGACCTGTGACCGTAATGGCAATTGGACTGGAGAAACACCCACCTGCAAAGGTAAAATAGGAAGAATTGTTAGAAGAAATGTTAACGTAATACCAGTTTTAAAATTCATACGTTTAAAAGGTCAATTTATTCACATTTTATAATGTTTCCTCAGCTCCCAAGTCTCAGTTGGCTGCCATTACCGGTGTTGCAGCAGCAGGGGGCGCTCTGTCATTAACTGGTCTGTCTTTGGCGCTGTGGATCCTGAAGCGACTGAGGCAAAACGCCAACAAGTTTGAGCTGAGTAGGTAAGCATTCAACACTCTTAAATCATACAATTACATTTTTTTAAAAGCCCATGTTAAATTTGCAATGCTCATTTTCTTTGTCTGTCTTTTCTTGCAGCAACTCGGACATAGAGACTCCTCCACAAACCTACAGAAACAGCATCGACAGCCTCATATAAAACACATATTAAGAACATTTCTAACATAACATAGTGAGTGACCTGTCGTAGTAATGTGAATAATATGTATACAAAACTTAAAGAGCTATCTATGCTGAGAGGAAATGTTTTTTTAGATCTTAGCAATTGATTACTGTACTGTTATTTCTAGAACGTCATGATTTCCTCTGTGATGTTTAGACATGTATTTCCTCCTAAGGGGAGTTCATATGGAACACATTGTTCTACAGCCTAGTGAACATGTACGAAAACTGGCACTTTTTATATTGCTGTAAATGTTAAAAAAAGGTTGCCGGTGAAATGCCATGTCATTGAAGAACTGTGAATATTTTGAATATCTAGATTTCAGTATTTATGTGCTATTTATTTACCAGATTGTTATTGCATTTGAGATGCTTATTCATATGTCTGTATATTTAAAGCAGTGCTGTGTTTTATTCTTAATAAAAAGTCAAAATATCATTTGTGTTTGCTCATTTTTATGCATCTTCCAGTATTATGAACGATGTCTATCAGTTAAGAAACATAGATAAACTGTCAGTTGTTTCATAAGACTGATACACGGGACAAAGGTTCAGCTGTTAACTCCACACCAACTTTTCTGCCAATTAATGCTGACTCTGCAGGACACCATGTATTTTTTCAGAGGTCCAGGAGGAACCTTTTTACAAAAACAAAACAGACCACTTGTCTGTTTGTGTCACCTTCATCACAATGGTCGGCACGAAGGTAGTTGTATAACAGTGAGATTGTGAAGCAGGAAGGGCTATATTGCTGCAGTAAGTGGTTTGACAGATCACCATTGTTGTTCCACCAAATGTATATTCTACATGTCAGCACTTCAGCTGAACCACAAACAGATCTCATATCTGCTGCAGAATTAAGGCAGCACGGTCATTTGTTGCTGTCATGACTTACAAAACATTTAAGGTGAAAGCTGAACATAAACATTTTAAATAAAAAGCACTTTTCGAACATTAAATAATTTAATCATGTCACAGTAGAGGCACAACATGAAATATGATTGTTATGACCATAATATGTGCCCTTTATTTGTATATATATATTTTTTTAATTGTTTGGATCACATTTCAACTTCAGTGTACACATATGTTGTTAAATAGTTTTACAGAGTGGTCCGTCTTTTCTCTTTTTCTTGACAAAACAACAATAATAAGCACACAAGAACATGGGGTGTTTCCTTTTCAATATAAAACATTGACAGTATAGATCACTAAATAAAAGATTCAAACAGTTAAACAAAAGAAGGGCGTATCGGGGTAATATACACTTTCCATTTCTCCCAAATGTCCTCAAATTTAAGTTCCTGGAGCCTCATAGAGAAGGTTATTCTTTCCATTACAAAGATCTCATCAATTATACCTGTAAGGAATGCGTGGAAGGGTAGGACCCAAATGCAGACTATCAGAAAAGGTAAACGGTCTCGAAACAAAAACGAGCTTTATTCTCAAAGCTTAATAGCATGGCATGAAACACATAGGTTCTACAGAAAACTGACCGTGACCAACATGGTGGGAGACAGGAGAAACAAACAATGAACCGACAAGGCACACAGGGGAAGACAAGACTAAATACAGAGAGGGGTAATCACAAGACGAGACACAGCTGGGGTAAGGGAGGCAGAAACACAAGGGCAACAGGTGAACACAATCAAACAATCAGACACACCAGGGAAACTAAGACAGGAAGGCAAACACAGGAAGAAGGAACAGAGAAGACACAAGGAGGAAAACATTTCAAAACAAAACAGGAACCAGAGACAGAAAAAGACAAGACAAAACACAACACAGACAGATTGTGACATAACCCCCCCCCTCAAGGGACGGATCCCAGACGTCCCAAAAAACATAGTCTAACACTTCCAAAAGGGTGGGTGGAGGGGGTCCGGAGGACGGGCCCGAAAGGGGTCCCGGGCGGACGGCCCGGGGGCAAGGCAGAGTCCAAAAAGGGGCGACGGCCACAGCGGGCGAACTCAGGGGGCCGGGCATGAGAGCAAAGGCAGCGGCTCTCAGGGGACCGGGCTCGAGGGCGAAGGCAGCGGCTGGAAGAATCAGGAGGCCGAGCCCGAGGGCGAAGACCGCGGCTGGAGAACTCAGGAGGCCGGGCTCGAGGGCGAAGACTGCGGCACTCAGGGGGCCGGGCTCGAGGGCGAACAAGAAGGCGGCGACGAGACAGCTCCGGAGGACGGGCAGGAAGGCGCCGACGGGACAACTCCGGAGGACGGGCAGGAAGGCGCCGACGGGACAGCTCCGGAGGACGGACAGGAAGGCGCCGACGGGACAGCTCCGGAGGCCGGGCAGGAAGGCGCCGACGGGACAGCTCCGGAGGCCGGGCAGGAAGGCGCCGACGGGACAGCTCCGGAGGCCGGGCAGGAAGGCGCCGACGGGACAGCTCCGGAGGCCGGGCAGGAAGGCGCCGACGGGACAGCTCCGGAGGACGGGCAGGAAGGCGCCGACGGGACAGCGCCGGAGGACGGGCAGGAAGGCGCCGACGGGACAGCTCCGGAGGACGGGCAGGAAGGCGCCGACGGGACAGCTCCGGAGGACGGGCAGGAAGGCGCCGACGGGACAGCTCCGGAGGACGGGCAGGAAGGCGCCGACGGGACAGCTCCGGAGGACGGGCAGGAAGGCGCCGACGGGACAGCTCCGGAGGCCGGACAGGAAGGCGCCGACGGGACAGCTCCGGAGGCCGGGCAGGAAGGCGCCGACGGGACAGCTCCGGAGGCCGGGCAGGAACCAGTATCGGCCGGACAGGAACCGGAGCCGACGGGACAGGCGTAGACGGGGTCCTGAACATGACATGGGCTGGTGTCGACTGGACCCCCAACGGAACAGGGCACAGAGTTGGCAGGACCCCCGGTGGAACAGGTGTCGGCGGGACCTCCAACAGGACAGGACACAGAGTTGGCAGGACCCCTGGCAGGACAGGTGTCGGCGGGACCCCCAACAGGACAGGACATGGATTTGGCAGGACAGGTGTCGGCGGGACCCCCAACAGGACAGGACATGGAGTTGGCAAGACCCCCGGCAGGAGAGTAGTCGGCGGGACCTCCAACATCACAGGACATAGGGTTGGCAGGACCCCCAACATCACAGGACATAGGGTTGGCAGGACCCCCGGCAGGAGAGTAGTCGGCGGGACCTCCAACATCACAGGACATAGGGTTGGCAGGACCCCCGGCAGGAGAGTAGTCGGCGGGACCTCCAACATCACAGGACATAGGGTTGGCAGGACCCCCGGCAGGAGAGTAGTCGGCGGGACCTCCAACATCACAGGACATAGGGTTGGCAGGACCCCCGGCAGAAGAGTAGTCGGCGGGACCTCCAACATCACAGGACATGGGGTAGGCGTCGGCCATAGAGCCAACAGGACACGGGGTGCTGGAGTCGGCCGGACCACCGACAGAACACGAGGGGCTGGAGTGGGCCGAACCACTGACAAAACACGGGGGGGGCGGAGTCGGCCGGACCACCGACAGGACACGAGGTGCTGGAGTCGGCCGGACCACCGACAGGACACGAGGTGCTGGAGTCGGCCGGACCACCGACAGGACAAGGGGGGCTGGCGTCGGCCGGAGAGCCAGTACTGGAGCCGAAACTGAAGCCGGAACCATGGCTGCTGGGGCCGGAACTGGGGCCGGAACCATGGCTGCTGGGGCCGGAACTGGGGCCGGAACCATGGCTGCTGGGGCCAGAACTGGGGCCGGAACCATGGCTGCTGGGGCCAGAACTGGGGCCGGAACCATGGCTGCTGGGGCCAGAACTGGGGCCGGAACCATGGCTGTGTGGGCCGGTACTGGAGCAGGCACCCTGGCTGCTGGGCACGGAACCGGAACACGGAACCATGGCTGTGTGGGATGGTACTGGAGCACGGTACCATGACTGTGTGGGGCTGTACTGGTGCACGGAACCATGACTGTGTGGGCCGGTACTGGAGCAGGCACCCTGGCTGCTGGGCATGGAACAGAAGCCTGGAACCTGACTGTGTGAGCCAGGTAATCGAACACGGAAGCATGGCTGTGTGGGCCGGTACTGGTGCACGGATCCATGGCTGTGTGGGCCGGTACTGGATTATGAGCTGGCTTCCTGACCTTGCGTTTCTTTGAGGTCTTTTGGAGGCTCCGTGGACCTCCAAACGCCAGACGGGATCCCAAAAAAGGGTCAGAGAATGGAGACTGGCACTCGGGGCTACGTGCAAAAACTCTGAGCCATTCAGGCAACGAGCTCCTCAGCCATGGCATGTTAGACACCGCCATCTGTGCCTTCTTGAGGATAGCCTCTTTGTCCCTTCTTGACGAGGTTCCACTCCACTCGACATAGTAACATTGAAGGGTAAAGTCTAGATTGAACAGATCTACCTTAAAATCTTCAAAATCTGCTGGGTCCATATTTGGTCGGTTCATTCTGTAAGGAGTGCGTGGAAGGGTAGGACCCAAATGCAGACTATCAGAAAAGGTAAACGGTCTCGAAACAAAAACGAGCTTTATTCTCAAAGCTTAACAATAGCATGGCATGAAACACATAGGTTCTACAGAAAACTGACCGTGACCAACATGGTGGGAGACAGGAGAAACAAACAATGAACCGACAAGGCACACAGGGGAAGACAAGACTAAATACAGAGAGGGGTAATCACAAGACGAGACACAGCTGGGATAAGGGAGGCAGAAACACAAGGGCAACAGGTGAACACAATCAAACAATCAGACACACCAGGGAAACTTAAGACAGGAAGGCAAACACAGGAAGAAGGAACAGAGAAGACACAAGGAGGAAAACATTTCAAAACAAAACAGGAACCAGAGACAGAAAAAGACAAGACAAAACACAACACAGACAGATCGTGACAATACCGTACCAATCATCCATGGATGGGCTGTTTGGTTTGAGCCATACTATGTCCTCTTTAAAGGAGAACATCATCTTACCAACAACAACGAAAACAGCTAAAGTGACAAAGATTATGAAATAAAATGAAATTGGAATAATTATCCATTTTTGATGTATGTCTTTGTGTTGGATCCATGGACCACACTGGGCTTTGTGTCGTTTGTGTTTCCTTGATTTTTCTCTTTCCATGCATGACTTAAAAATGCCACTGAAATGCCCCGATCACACGCTAACCAGAAACAGGGGGCATTCCCAAAAGGTCTGTCCAGGTCTAACAGGTCAGTTAGTCATTCATCACATGCATTCACTTTGTAAAGTAAACATCCAGTAATTCTCTTATAATGTTGGACAGATAGCCAAAGAGAACTATAAAAGCCTGACATTGGTCCGTGCTAAACTCACATTCACTTAACTGCCGTGTTATAATGTTTTGATTTTGAATAGGAAAACCAGAATGTGTCTTAAGTAGCAAGCTTATTGACAACTATTTTCAAGGTATACTGTTCATATATTACCATTTCCAGGTAAGTATGTTTTTTCCGTTATATTTTTATGATTGTATTCATCAATATTTCAGCTTTTGATAATTTTTTCTTTGCACAGACAACAGGCATTTGTGATCCCTCACTTAAAAATGAGGTGGATATTAATCATTTTCCTTGGTGAGTATTAACTTTAACACTAAGGCACAAAAGTTAGGTTTAATGTATAAAGTAATCTACAAAAAAGATTAGAAGGGAATGGAGCTGCAGTATTGTTAATTGATGCATGTGCTCAAAAATAAGTATACTGGTTTTATTATCTTTAATAATTGTATTATATATTTGTATATTTTTATATAGGTTGTATGTTTCCTAGTGTATGCATTTGATGTATTTTATTACATCCTATTTTTATACTTATGTTTAATATCTTATTTCTAGTGGTATTATTTTTTTTATATGTTTTATTTGTAATTTAATTTTCAGTTTACCATGGAATCATATCAATCCCTTTTTGTTAATCATATCTATTATTCAATTAGATATTTGTATTGTTACGTTTTTTTGGACTGCAATTTTTGTCAGGTGCTTCTATTGTTATTATTATTATTTGTATTTTCCTTTAGGGAATGATGTTTTTTTTTCTTCCAAAATGTGTACTAGGAAGCTCATTGGCTCTCTCTACCTCTGGCTGGACGTATCATCCCTACAATAAGCGCATGAACTGGACCCAGGCCCGGCAGTGGTGCCAGAGCACCTACACTGACATGGTGGTGCTCCAGAACCAGAGAGAGAACGACTATCTAGTGTCCACGCTGCCAAACAGAACCAGCAGTCCATATTATTGGATTGGAGTCACCAAAAAACACATGAATGAACCCTGGACGTGGATTGGGAATAACAGCACGTGGGTTGGTAATAATTCATGGGCAGCAAACGAGCCGAACAACAACCACATCACCGAGTTCTGCGTGGAGATCTACGTGAACACAGGACCGAACCGAGGGAAGTGGAATGATGAGAAATGCAGCTCTCCGAAATACCCTGTTTGTTATGAAGGTATATGTCTTTTCTTGCTGTAACAAATGCACATTTCCCCTCTGGAAGAATAAAGGTATTCTGATTCTGATCTGATTCTGAAGTAAAACTGATTGGGTTTCAAAGTTGTTACAGTTTCAAAAGTGGTAGAGGATTAGTGTTGACGTTTTTCTCTACAGCTCAGTGTAATGAAACTTCATGTGAAAGAGGAAGATGCCACGAGACCATAAACAACATGACCTGCCTGTGTGAGCCCGGCTTTGAGGGAGACAGGTGCCAGACAGGTGAGGGGTCAGCTCTCACCAACAACTACACTAAGTGAAGTTCATTTAAAAGATCTCATTTTGTCTAGTCCATCTTAAACATTTCTCACATGCATATATGTACACCTGTAGCAATACGTTAATGCACATAAGCTGCAAACTGTCAGTGACGGACATGTATGTTTAGAGAAAGTAGTCATTCTTGAAAAACCCGCATTGCATATCCTGTGATATATTATATTATACATGACATACAGTAGACAAAAAGTGTTGATAGACAAACTTATAATGACTTGGACTTTCTTAACTTTTTCCAAAAATATATTGGCTAATTTTACCTTTTTTGAATCTCATCTCCTTAATGTAGTGGCAGTAAAGTAGGCCACAGTATTTGAGAAAACGTATATTTTCCACCACCGTAAAATACAAATAGGTGATGAATTCCACAAAGAAAATGTACTGGTATTTTTTTAACAATGGGTTTCATATGTGCTAACTATAAGGTTCAACCATATCTAGTTATTTAGCTCAACTATGACTGAACAGTGGCTTTCCAGGGGATGGGTTTAGCAAATTCAATCGATCATTGGCCAACTCTACAGTTTCCCCTCAGCTCTCTTTCTCTCATATCGGTCTTTCTGTAAACATGAGGCACCAATACAACCTGTAATGGCCTTTTGATAAGCCTGTTATTTTCCTGTACCAGACAATTGTTATGTGGAGGAATTTCTAAATAATACCGCAGTCAGAAATGTCAGATGTAATTTATTTCACATTACTAACTCACATTATGATCTGATGAATGGACTTCACTCCCTCTTTCCTCTGAATATCATATTCATTTCCTCTGTGCTTCTTGTTAAATACATTATTGTTGTATGTTAACATGCTCATCATAAGCCTCGCATCTGTTTCCTCTGTTTCCTAAGGCCAGGCTTAAGATCACTTTTTAAATAGTGACCAAGATTGCTTCAGCATTATGTGCCTCTGAAGATGAATTATGTTCACAGTACAAAGCGAGCGTAAGAAGTTAAATAATTGCATCTCTGTTAAACTTTAACCTGTTTGTGCCCCCAGCTGTCCAATGCCCCCCTCTGCCTCGGCCTGATAACGGATACCTCAGTTGCTTTGGAGGAAACCTCACATTCAACTCAACGTGCCGATATGGATGCAACCTAGGCTTCCTGATTTTAGGATCGCCAGAAGTGACTTGTGAGGTCACCGGGGTGTGGAGCGGCCCAAGACCTACTTGTGCATGTAATTGAAGTTATATAGCAGTTTAAAAGAGGATAAATACACCAACACCATTGTAATGTTTTAATGTTTCTCTGCAAATGTCATTTATCTTATGCACATTTAAAAGTTCTTCATTTTTCTCATTCTGCCTGTGCTGCAGCTCCTCTTTTCACCATTGATCTGAATTGATTGGTTAGTTGGCCGGCTCTGTTGTGATTGGTCAACCACTTAGAGATGTCGGCCCCTTAGCCTCTCACATACAATGTGATGATTTCAATGTTTATTTATACGTTTATTTCGTATTAACTAATAATCAGTAGTCAAAAGTAACATATTGGCTTTCAAAACTTAGTGGAGTAGAAGTATAAAGCAGCATAAAATGAACACATTCAGTACCAAAAATATATATTTAAGTACAGTTCTTGAGTAAGTGTACTTCATTAAATTCCACAACTGTTTACATGTATACAGCAGAAACAGCAGTAGTAGTAGTAGTAGTAGTAGTAGTAGTAGTACTAGTAGTAGTAGTAGTAGTAGTAGTAGTAGTAGTAGTAGTAGTAGTAGTAGTAGCAGTAGTAGTAGTAGTAGTAGTAGTAGTAGTAGTAGTAGTAGTAGTAGTAGTAGTAGTAGTAGCAGTACTAGTAGTAGTAGTAGTAGTAGTAGTAGCAGTAGTAGTAGTAGTAGTAGCAACCCTGTTTAGAAAAGTAAACATTGTTCTGTCTACGATTGTATGACTTCGGATAAAAATGACTGTTTTCCCCCAGACTACAAGCAGGCCCTCCTGGCTGTAGCTGGGAGCGCGGCGCTGTCAGTCCTCTGCTGCCTCTGCTTCTGCTGGATGAAACGCAGAAAAAGTGAGTGTTTCTCAATCACGCTTCATTGAAATAGAGATGCATGTTATTGCAACAGACCATAGTAATCTTTTTGTCTGTTAATTTCTCACAGGAAAGAAACTTGCCCAACTAAGGTCAGTGTTGAAATGTACTCATCTAAAGCAGCTACACCCATTTATGCACAACCAGTGTGAAAGTTTATTGCTTTTGTTCCTTAAAACGTTGGTATTTAGTTCACTGATATCATTCTGTCAAGTATTTTCCGAGAATGCAACCTCAATTATATTCAGTTAACCGTACTAAAATAGTAGAATAGATCAAGTGGTTTACGTAAGTTGCAGGTATAGGGAAAATGTAAGTAATTGTACAACAAATTAGGATGTAAAATGAAATACTGTACATTAGAATATATTCTGCACACTGAAATAATGTAGATGTCGATAAAAATATGTGACTCTATTAATCAATGTGTTTGTCCTTCATAGGCAGCGTGAGGAAGTGACAAGTCCGTTCTCTGAGGGACAAACATGAAGGACAACTGGGACCTCATTTATGTCTTAATAAAATATATACTGACTAGGAATAAAGTTAATTGGATTCTTTTGAGTAAATTATTAACATTTAATGTAAGCAGTCACCGGCTGTAAGCATTTTTTCCTGATATATTGTATGTTAAAGCTTCATTGGGTTATTCTGTAGGGATAAATGTAAGTGTGTATTTGTGTGTACATGATTTATTTTTTCTCAGATCATACATATGTAAACATATATATATATATCATTGTTAAAGAAACATTCAAATGAATAAAACTAATTAAAAAAAGTTTGTATGATGATGTCTGTATGAGTTTGATGCAGGTGTATATGAGTGTGTTGGGGTGTGTGTGAGTGTGTGTGTGTGTGTGTGTGTGTGTGTGTGTGTGTGAGTGTGTGTGTGTGTGTGTGTGTGTGTGTGTGTGTGTGTGTGTGTGTGTGTGTGTGTGTGTGTGTGGCCGTGTGTGGCCGTGTGTGGCCGTGTGTGTTCCCAGAGAGTTATGGGTGGTATGGTATTGTCCTTCCTGAGAGGAAGTTACGGCAGATGTGATATTACAAAATTGATCATTGACTCAATTACCACTTTGCCATTGATCGTCAGCAAAGTCAATGCAACAACAAGATTGAGTGAAGACAGATATGATGGTAAGACCTGTGATATATCGGTGTTGTAAATTCACGTTTATGTGCAAGTATGAAAATAACTCTTTGGATTTCAGATGTTTCAACAATCAGTTGATACCAGACAAGGCCTGCATCACATTCTGCTGATAGCTGCACTCATTGGATTTGTCCAAGGTAGGTTTTCATACTTTTACAAATTATTTTATCTCTTGTTTCTTCACTAGTTTAATTGTTGTATCATCATCCTTTGACCTCATCTTAGACCTGAGCAGCGGAGGAGGAGCGCATGCATGGAGCTACGACTTCAACATCATTCCAAACCGCAGATGGCTGGAGGCCCGTGAGTGGTGCCAGAATCACTTCACAGACATGGTGCCCATCAGGAACCAGGAGGAGAGTGACTTCCTCAACAATTTGCTACCTTTTAACGCAAAATATTACTGGATAGGCATAAGCAAAAGGGAGGGAGAGTGGGTCTGGAAAGAAACCGATGAGAAGGTGCCAGAAGATGCTCAGAAATGGGCGCTAGAGGAGCCAGATAACATCGCCGCTCAGGACTGTGTGGAGATTTACATCAAGAGGGATAAAGACACAGCCAAGTGGAACAATGAGAACTGTCGCAAGAGGAAGGGAACCGTCTGCTATACAGGTTACATTTATGTATTTATGATTGACACATAAACTGACTCCAGATTTATTGTAGCATGTGAGATTAATGCTGCAAATGCAGAAATTATTTTGTAACAGCAACAAGATGTTATCAGGCAGTGCACACAAGTTAAAAAAACAGTAATTACATGTCAACAGGAGAAATATGTATATCAATTGAGCAAAATGCAATATACACCTTTTTTTTAAATTAATGTTATTACTGTCTGCTACATCACTACTTTCATATGTTTAGTCACTTTTTTTACAATGCTGATACTTGTGTTTTTTGTATTTTTTTAAATGGCTGTGAACTTATTGGATTTGATTTAATTAACCTGTGCTTGCTCTTCTTTAAATCATAGTCTATTCATTTTATTTTTGCTTTTTATCTGCACCTACCCTTTGCTTTAACAATATAAGTTGTTCGACAAATTCAGGATATCTAATTATTTTTCTAAATCTGAATACAAATAATGCATAAGTTTGAATACACAATAATAGAACGACCTATTAAAGGTGGGGTAGGTAAGTTTGAGAAACCGGCTCGAGATACACTTTTTGTTATATTCCATGGAATGCTCTTAACATCCCGATAGCAATGAATATCTTAAGTGCTTTGACAAAAAATCCATAACAAAATTTCATCTGTGGAAGCCTTAATACTGTAAAAAAGCACGACCAATCATTTTAGCCGGCCCGGCTAAAATAACTGGATGGCCTACCTGCCTGTCAGCCTTCCATCTGTGTACAAACTTATCTCGTGCCCTCATTGGTCATGTGCGCGTTCGTGTGTGTTGGAGGAGGGGCTCTGTAAGGAAGTGGCAGATTTTTTCCGGTTGTGTATTTTCAAATTCTAGCTGGTTTCTCCAAAATTACCTACCCCACCTTTAATGAAATACAATCACGGGATGCCTGATACTTTATACACGTGTGCTAAGTAGTTGCTTCTTTCTCTATGTACGCAGCCTCTTGTAAACCAGAGTCCTGCAGTGCCCATGCAGACTGTGTGGAGACGGTGGGTAACTACACCTGCCAGTGCCATCCTGGTTTCCTGGGGTCACGCTGTGAAGAGGGTGAGCAAAACTTTAAACCACTCATAACCTTTTACTCTGAGTATAATAAACTGTCTAAAAATATATTGTTTTTCTTCTTTAGCAATCGCGTGCAAACGCCTGCTGGACCCAGAACAAGCTTCCAGCAACTGTTCCCGTCCCTATGGGTCAAATCGTTTCAACTCTTCCTGCCGTTTCCTCTGTGATCTCGGCTTTCGCATGGTGGGCGAGTCCCCTCTGCTGTGCCAGGCCAGCGGACTGTGGACCCACCCCGTTCCTCTGTGTCAAGGTACAACTGGGGTTCAACAATGTTAAAACTGTCCCAGCTAGTGGAGCAGGGTGGACCCAATGCTGAGGGCAGGAAGACTTAACAGAAAATACCTTTATTTAAAAGGTTGGGTACAAAAAAATGCAAGGCAAAAAAAAAACAGAACAGACACTGTACATTTTACATTTATACATCAGTTTAATATTTAATATTCCATCTGTCACATACTTATGTATATATAATACCTTGCTTTATATCTTGTTATTGTTCATTTGTAAATTCAAATTTTTTTATTTTCTACTTTCTTGTTTATTTCTTGTCTTTTAATTTGTATTGTACAATGCCATGCCTTTTTATGCTGCTGCAACACAAAAATGTCCCAAATTGGGATCAATAAAGTACTATCTTATCTTATCTTAATACATGTTGCCCGACGTACACAAATCTGAAAAAGACTAAACAAAAAAAACAGGACCTTAAAGGTGGGGTAGGTAAGTTTGAGAAACCGGCTCGAGATACACTTTTTGTTATATTCCATGGAATGCTCTTAACATCCCGATAGCAATGAATATCTTAAGTGCTTTGACACAAAATAACAAAATTTCATCTGTGGAAGCCTTAATACTGTAAAAAGCACGACCAATCATTTTAGCCAGGCCGGCTAAAATGATTGGATGGCCTACCTGCCTGTCAGCCTTCCATCTCTGCACAGACTTATCTCGTGCCCTCATTGGTCATGTGCGCGTTCGTGTGTGTTGGAGGAGGGGCTCTATAAGGAAGTGGCAGATTATTTCCGGCTGTGTATTTTCAAATTTTAGCGATCTCGAGCCGGTTTCTCCAACATTACCTACCCCACCTTTAATACAAGCAGAACTGGATAAAGGAGGGGTCAACTAGTTGCAGAGTTATTGAGAAACAGGTGGAAGTAATAAAGATGGACTTATATTGAAAACAGGCGGGAAAATTCACAAACATAGGAAGTGAAATCAGACAAGACACAGGGAAAGAAAATGTTTTAAAATGTAAAAAGGACACACAAAAAACAATTGTGATTTCCAATGTCAAAGTCACAATTAAAATATTGTTCCTTTCCTGTCTCAGTTGAACAGTGTTCAGTCCTGAACCACAGCAGCATCAAGAACTGCAGCCACCCGATCGCCTCGTACAGCTTCAAGTCCATCTGCGAGGTTCGCTGTGATGAAGGCTATGAGCACCATGGACCGGACCAGATACGCTGCCACTACAACGGCCAGTGGACATCCATAGTCCAAGATTGTACAGGTAAAGTCATCGCCTTTTAAATATACCCCCAATCATGTTTTAAACCAGCCTGTAACCTGTCTTAAACTGTAGAAATTGAAGGTTAAAAATGTGAATATCTTTTGTGAAATTCTCCGTAGCTGCCACTTTTCATGTGATTTCCTATTGTGTAATACTTGACTCTTGCTAATAGAATTACAGCCACCTTTTGGTTATACATAGCTGGCCTCAAAGTGCAGTCACATCCTGTCCAGACTGCACTGCGGATCAGATTCAGGTCGCACATGTTATCGCTTTACTTCACACTCATTTTTGCCAGCATTGAGAAAACACTATTGTAATTTAATCTGGGTGGGACGTTATTGTTTCCTTTGTCTGTACATTACGTAAGAAATAATTCCCCCACCTCATGCTTTTGCTATGTTTATATAAGTGGAGTCACAATACATGTGTTTCATAAGAGCATTGATTTCCATTGAGTGGCCTGATTTGTATCTACTGTATATCCCACCCTCAGTAAAAAGGTGCTCCCCCGCTTTCTTTCCTGTCTCGGGCAATGTGACCTGTGTGGACGCTGTGGAGCCTTTCTCTTTTGGTTCACGATGCAACTTCACCTGCCAGGAAGGCTACTACCTGACCAGAGACGACGCATACACCTGTCTGGCCTCGGGACAATGGAGCAACCCTACACCTACATGCAAAGGTGGGTCACAGAAATGATGTCAGGGCTCCCAGAAAGCATCAAAATCGTCCTAAAAACCAAAAATGTACACTGCTCTGATGATTGATAAGATGTCTTCTTCTGCAGTGGTGCAGTGCAACAGTTTAAAGGCTCCACCTCACGCCTCCATGCAATGCCAGGACCCAGGAGTGAACAGCTATGGCTCAATATGCTCCGTGCTATGTGAAGAAGGATTTGATCTGATTGGTGGAAACGTGACGAAATGTTCTGCCCAGGGAAACTGGAGTCATGCACTTCCTGTTTGCCAGGGTACGTGATTAAGTCTGTTCTTTTTGCTATTTTACCTTAAATTGAAAACAAGTTTGTGTAATCCGTCTCCCCCTTGTCTCTGTATATCTTCAAGCTAAGAGGTGTAACCCAATAAATCCTCCTCATGGCTCCCTATCCTGTTCTGACCCAAACGGACTGTTCAGTTTTGGGTCTCTGTGCAAGACAACCTGCGACGAGGGCTTTCTTCTAAATGGGACCAACAGCACTGAGTGCACCTCCCAGGGTGTTTGGAGTGCAGACATCCCACAATGCTTGGGTACATCTGTTGTTGTCATTTCTTCCCATGTACCACTTCACCACATGCAATTCAAAACATTGCTAATCTTTCCCTCTCTCTGATGCCCTCCAGCTAAAAGATGTCCCACCCTGAGCTCTCCCTCTCATGGCTTCATAGTGTGCTCTGTTCCTCATGAGGTGTTCAGTTTCGGTTCTCAGTGTGTATCGACATGTGAGGAGGGTTTTCTCCGGAATGGGACGGCTGTCAATGAGTGCACCTCTCTGGGAACATGGAGCACAGAAATCCCATATTGCTTAGGTATATTAATATTATACATCTTTGAATGCAAATCTGTTAATTGTCATTTGTTGGAGGAACCTTCATTTAATGGTTAAGGTCTCTTGACGGTAGTTTTATTAAATGATTTGGTTTAATTGCTCTCTACCCCTCCAGCTAAAAGATGTCCCACCCTGAGCTCTCCCTCTCATGGCTCCTTAGTCTGCTCTGATCCTCATGAGAAGTTCGGTTTCACTTCTCGGTGCACGTCAACCTGTGAGGAGGGTTTTCTCCTGAATGGGACGGCTGACAATGAGTGCACCTCTCTGGGCACGTGGAGCACAGAATTACCCCACTGCCTGGGTAATAAATCATATGAGAGCTGAGCACTTTATTTGCCTTATTTGTTCTGAAACTCATATTTTTTGGTTGCTATCTGCAGCACGGCCATGCCCCCTACTGGACAAGGCCCCACATCACGGGAGGATGAACTGCAGCCACCCGTACTCCTCTTTCAGCTATGACTCCAGCTGTGACTTTGAATGTAATGAGGGCTTCTGGCTGAGAGGAACACCAAATATGACATGTAATACCTCAGGACACTGGAGTCAGGATCTACCCACCTGCCAGCGTGAGTGCTTCACTTAACTCACTCTTGCTGTTCTGGTTATCCAACAACCGACATGACATGCAATTTCTGTCTCTTGTCTCAGCGTTACAGTGTGAGGCTATCCCTGCCTTGTTTGGATCCCTGTCTATGAACTGCTCCCATCCTCTGGGGAACTTCAGCTTTGGCTCTCAGTGTAGTTTTGCCTGTGAAGGGGGATTCTCCATGCATGGCACTGAGCTGTTGTTCTGCTCCTCCTCTGGGATTTGGAACGACAGCCGGCCAAACTGCACAGGTAATTCGATTTATGTCTGTGATGAACATTCAAACATGCTGATTTTCAACACTTTATTAGCTAACTACAGTGCACTAAAATGACAGATTGCTAAATGTAATCGGGTTTGCAGGAATTTGATCTTAAACTCACACTTTGGATGTGTTTCTTGGGTATTTTTGTATTAAGATTTGTATCCTATGGTGGCGTTAGAGAACAAATTAAGGGATAACAAATATGATCTTCCTGAGGGGGGCTTACAAGTTATTTATACAGTTCAATCAAAAAACACCACTTCATTGTGGCATTAGGAAAGAAGATACAAAATTCATAAGTATACATCATCTGCCACCCATAATGTCTATTCTCTCTTGTGCCAATCAGATAAGAGGTTAAAAAGCAAACTGTGAACGTTTAAACATTCACCTGATGGTGGCGCCAGAGGGAAAGTGAGGGGATTCACCAAACTGAATACCTGTGCAAATTTTGACTGTGATGTGTCTTGTTGGGATATTGCAGTTTGATCAAGAAAACATTAGTTAGGAATAAATACAAAATGTTAAAAACTATGATCTCTATGTGTTTCTGTAGAGGATCTGCCAGTGTGGGCTGCCTTGCTGCTGTCTTCAGGTTTTGGAGTAGCCTACGTGGTCGTGCTGCTGGTCCTGATTGGACTGGTTGTGTTGATCATAATGAGATTTAGAAAAAAAAGAGGTGAGACCGACTGAAATGCTGCTGTCCAGTTTCACATATGCAGCATGTTGTAGCACTCACAGTTGATTCCTGTTTCTGATGTTTGCAGGAGATAACATGATGTCTGAAGCACCAGCATGGGGAGACCGAGAGAACCCAGCATTTGATTTTGACTCCTAATTTTTCTAATCATTTCAATTTCTTTAGCTTAATGCTCTCAATCAATATATCAAGCTTGTTTACTATACAACACTGGAACCAAGAAATTGCACGTAGTAGGAATCGAGCTTTGCATTGATGGGTTATTAAAATGTCCACTCAATAAAAATGTAGATCATTTAAGATTCAAAGACTTCATTTGCAAAAGTGCAATATAGTGGAGTTGTTGTTAATGAAAGTCTTAAATCCTAAGCTAATAATTCACACCTTCACATGTTCTTAACGGCACAAAGTACAGTCAATGTGCATCTTTTGCTCTCTGTCTCACTTTGTATATTGCTTGATTGACAATAAACTATTTTGAATTGTCTCCTTTAATGTATTACAGACTCACCAAATACCTCACACAATATAAGATGAATGGGATAAAGACCACTTCCTGGTCCTAGTGAACACTCAAAGCTAAGTTGCAGCACATGCCGGCATTCACCTATTCACACATACAATGTATACACTGGTGGCAAAGGCAATACCATACACTTGATTACTTATTATGATTCAGTACATTTACATACATCTGGAGCAAATTTGAGTTTGGTATTTTGCCTAAGGACACAATTCGAATTGTAGACTGCAAGGATCAGGTATCGAAACCTCGACCCTCTGATTGATAGACGACCACTCATGACCCACAGGAGGCTCAGGAGGCTGTGATTCTTTATCCATGTCCATGTTCATTGGTGCTGAATGGGTTGACCCTGTGTTGCTGGTGCCCTCCCTAGCAGCTCAGTTTGCTGACCTCCCATAGTGGAACTAATACTGAGGGGTCAATTTAGGAAGTGACAGAAAACCTTTGAGATTACCAGACTGCCACAAAGTGTCACATTGGCACATTTAGTGTCCAGAAAGCTTGTGTCACTGAATGGTGAGAAAGTCATCTATTATCAGTGTCCGCTCAATGTGTCACACTGGGCACCAATCCAACATTTAGGGACAATACACTGCCCCCGAAGTACAGTATCCTGGATTAACATGAACCTCTCACATGTTGTAGAAAATTAGGGCTGTTTTGGATTTACTAATTTAGCTGTAAATCCATTGTCTGGATTGTATCGATATTCTTCCGTATGGCTGTATCTACTGTATTGAGTCTTCCCAGTGCATCTGTGCCAAACGTATACCCCCAGACTCTTAATATGAGCTGCAAATGGCCAATGGAGTGTCTTCAGCAAAGCGTGTGCATCTGTCTTGGCGCTCCAACAGCATGAAGCCAATTATAGCGGTTAAAAGACAGAGGGTTTGTGGCCTGTGGTTGGCATGAAGGGTGCAATAAATAACCACACTGTCGACAGGAAACTGTTTGGCTACCGTCAGAATAATAATGAGGTTATTGCTACCCGCTATGACCGTATGATCACGGTTTGATTATTTTTCACAACCCACCCACTGCTGCTGGCAACCATGCACACGTGCCAACTGTGCACAGACTCACACACAAGAAGGGGAAGCAGGGCTGCAGGTGAGCAGTGGCTTCATTTCCTCATATTTGAGCCTCTCTTTATCTGAAGACACAAGGAAGTACATTATGATACTTCAATCCTTGGAACAAAGAGAGTTGTTCCGCGCGCACACACACACACACACACACACACACACACACACACCGGCAGCAGAGGTGGAAGAAGTATTCAGATGCTTTACTTGAGTAAAAGTATCTTATATTAATCTCAAAATACTTCATTATAAGTAAAAGTCATGCATTTACTTAATCTTACTTAAGTAAAAGTACAAAAGTATTACCAGAAAAATGTACTTAAATTATAAAAAGTTTTTGGAGATGCATTTTTTTTTTTTTTAATGTAGCTAAAGATGTTTAATAAATTAGTAAAATTACATTATTTCCCTTTAAAATGTAGTGGAGTAGAAGTATAAAGTAGCACTAAATGGAAATACTCAAGTAAAGTACCTTAATATTCTACTTGCATTTCACATAATGTTATTAGGTTTGTTGAAAGCAATAATATTACGTTTGAATAACAAATGAGGTTCAACTTAATATTAATGCCTTTAACTAACCTGTGTGAAATTTGTTGACATAATACATTGAATTAAAGTCAACGTTACAGTTTGTTCAGTGTACTGTATGGAAGTTCAATGTTGAGGTACTTGTACTTGAGTACTTCCCACCTCTGGCCAGCAGACACTAGCAGATACAGACACAGATACAAAAGCAGAGAAACACACACTGTGTATACTCTGCTGCACACTTCTGCAGCGCCGCTTGGCAGGAGCATACCGCGGTGACAGACAGTTAGATTGTTCCTGACCATTGACTTGCGCTCTCTGCTCGGCGAGGTCTGATTTCATAGTGGGAAATATGAGAAGGGTCCAGGAGAGGGTTCACGGCTGGGGCAAGGAGGCACTCCATACAGTGGGGCTTCATATCTCTGTGTCACCCTGGGCATTCTCCCCTGACACAGCTTTCAGCCCCTCCGTTGTCTGGAGGGTTTTCTCAACCTCCCTCCCCAGGATCGGTGCATTCCAGCTGGCCACAGAGCCTGGGTGGTCCCCCTCCTCCCCTCCACTCCTGTATGACTGTGAGGAAGGAAAAGGCAGAAAAATGCAGCGAGGGCCTTTGACCGCGAGGAGCACAATGTGAGCGTTGATGATGGCGGCGTGGATGTGATGGTTACCTGCCACTGACCCATACAGCTGTCATAGCCCGGCGTTTCACAATCTGATGATCCACCCAACAGTCGGGGGGGGGGGGAAGATGCCTCGCTGACCTGTCACCTAGATCGGATTGATAAGCACCGAGGATGGACTGACCCGACTCTAACCCTCAGCATGAATACCCCATCTTCATCATGAATCAGCCCCACATTGTACACATTCACTGTTTCATACAGTATCAACAGCATCTCTGAACCCATGACCTGAACAGAGAATATGAATTGCAACAAATCGAAGATACCCGCAATTTAGTAAGGTCTCACTGAAGCATTCTGTTGTGCACCACACTGAAGAAATTAAACATTGACTTTAATTAAATGTATTGTCAACAGATTTCATATAACTGTATTGGGTTAGTTGAAAGCAATAAAAAAACGTAATATTAATGCTTTTAACTTACCTAAAACAGATATGTGAAATCTGTTGACCTATACAATTAATTAAAGTCAACGTTTCAGTCTTTTCAGTGCATCTTCATCATGAATCAGCACCATATTTTACACATTCACTGTATCTTACAGTATCAACATCATTGCTGACCCTAACCATGTCCTGAACAGTGAATATTAATTATTACCATTAAATCGGAGATACAGGGTCCCATAATGTAATACTGTGAGGTTAGACTGAAGCATTATTTTGAGCACCAGACAATGCTCAAATTAAATACAGAGCTAAATCCCATATTTCTCTTCAGTGATCGTGATGTTTTGTTAAATGTTGTTCCCTTGTTTCTTGTCTTAAAGGGGACCTACTGTATCATGCAAAATGCACTTTTGTACGTCTTTTATACATGAATATGTGTCCCCGGTGTTCCAGGGAACTCACCAAGTGTCAGAAAACACAACCCTCTCTATTTTCCTCCATACCCAAATCTCTAAAAACGGGGCTGCAACGTATCTGATAAAAACTGATACAGATTTGAACATTTCTCTGACGTCAGGACGGAGGAGCTCCGCCTATATGGCCAACTCTCCACCTATCAGGGGAATGAGAGGTTGCCGTGGCATGGTAACAGCATGGTAACAGCATGGTAACACGACGCTCGTAACTCGGCCCCCTCCTTTGCAGGGGGGCGTGGTCAGCTGCAGCGCATGCAAAGACAGGGTGGAGGAGAGCAAAATAGAGCAAAATGAGGTTTGGCTAAAATGCATGATCTGTTTGGTATTTTGAAAAAGAAAACGTATAAATATGCCTTATATAGGTATGGCCCTACAATATATTATTCAAATATAGCATGATAGGTCCACTTTAAATATTTATCTCTGTTGATGTTGCAAATGGAGCTTTTGTGACGGAAGAAAAATGTCAGACTCGATCTGACAATAATCGTAACGTATAACCATTATTTATTGATCATTGTTGATTCATTCAAGGTAAACAGCATACACACATTGTGAGAATAAATACACACAAACCGTTATTTACATTAGTAGATGCAGTTAATAATCAAACAGAGAGGTCTGCGTCGTGCTAACACAGGAGCCTGTGTCGTACAGATTGTAAAGCATTGGAGGCAGTAGTGTAATCGTGTTTAAATGGACATGCACGTTGCATATTGCTTGGTGTCAGTGTACCCACGGCTCCCTTTTGCAACCACTTCTTCTACTTTCTTGTGCACGGTGCAGGAACAAAGGGATGAGGGAGACACACCGTTTCTCTCTGAGTCCGATCTCCACCCTCAGGAGGTGAAGTAAGAGTCCTGCATGGAGTAGAGGCGGTCGATGGGGGTGAGCAGAGAGGAGTCCCCCAGGGAGAGGCAGTCGCTGTCAGGCACGTGACACAGAGCGTCTCTGTCCATGTCCCCGTACAGACCCTTAAAACCTGAAAAAGACCAAAAGTATTTCAAGATGTGCAAAGCTATGTGAAATATATGCCGATATATTTAATTATGCCAATATAAATGACTATGTTTGTGATAAAAAAACATTAAACTTTAGTGGTATAGAGGTGTTGATTGTTGGTGGTTTTGTAATTGAATTGTACCTTAATATATAATTTTGTTGTTAATTTCCATTTTATGCACCATTAAATTAAATTGTAACAGTATTTTGGATTGCTAGACAGACAATTACATGAGAGTTTCATGACAAAAGGAGCTTCTCCACCAACTGAACTAAAGTAAACAGCCACAAAGAGACTATCATTTATTTTGCATTTTAAATCTTTCATTTGGTCCCTTGCAAAAAAGAAAACATGGTAAATTCGACCGCACATTGACACAAAGCAGGACACGTTACTGCAAAGCTGGAGCAAAATAGGAACTACTGTACTGTATGTGAGAAAATAAACAAACTATAATGCATTTAAAAATAATAAAATCCTGATTATTCTTAAGTAATCATGTTGCAGAAAAATTGCCTTTAAGTGTGTTTATAATTACATGTATATATGTGACATTTCCAGATAATATTCTTGCATCAAGTATAGTTTTACTGTGGTAGACAAACCAAGTTCTGAAAATGTGGTACATACTGCAGAAATAAAATCAAACCTCTCTTAACATAATGCTCCGTCACGGTTTGACAGCGCTCTTTACCGTAGGGGTGCATGTGATCCCCGGGCATCTGAGGAGGGGTCAGGCCCTGTCTGAAGGGGTCCATGTCGTAGTCCTGCTGCTCCAGGGTGGTGAGGCCCATCTG